ATTCAAGTTCACTTTAAAATACATCAAAGCCTACACAGTTAAAGTAGTGGTCGTGCTATGATTTGTTGGACTATTGACTATCTCTGTTTTATGGTTTGTGTTCCTGTCAATATATAGTGCCAGTCTTGGTTTACATAGTGCATACATAAACACAGTTAAAAGAGATCAAAAGTCAGAAAAAACAACCTAAAAACAATTGAAACTACTATACGTTAAGATATAGAAAATGTACTTGAAATCTGGATATACCAAAAAACTATGTGTAAATAATAAAATCAAATATGTGCAGTATTGTTATGGAAGTTATTTGATAACATTTATACGTTATCTTATGTGAGTTTCTATATAGAAAACCCTCACTTTTTTTTTTAAAACAACATATTTAGTCTTAATTGTGTGCTACTGTAGGTCAGAGACCCTGTGACTCCTGTTCATTTTGTAGTTTGAATGTGATGTTATAATACATTACAGAGCAGAGTGACACAAAGACGTGGTAGTTATCACATGAATTTAATGCATTTCTTTTTCTACAGGGTCTTTTCGGGGCGTTTGCAAAGACATTGATCACTTTGCTGAGGATGGAGACTATGAGCAGGATGCTACAGAATATTTACTACGTAGGTAACACATGCACACATGACTACTTCTAACAAATATATGAACTGAGGTGTTCAAATGTAAAAATATCCTATTCTCTCAACTTTTTCTCAGGAGCAGTTCGAGCCTCCAGCCTCTTCCCTATCCTCAGTGTGGGATTATTATTTCTCGGAGGTGTGTGTGTAGCGGCCAGCGAGTTCTACAAGTCACGATACAACGTCATCCTCTGCGCGGGTTTACTCTTTGTCTCTGCAGGTCAGAAACACACGCAAATCTAATACATACCAAGAGAGTTACACGAATACACACATGTACATCCACAGACAATTACACACAAATACATACACAAAGATACGTCCCCAAAAACATCCACAAAAAGCCATACTTAAAAAACATATACAAAATGACATACATGTACACAATGACCACAAATACAAACAAACATAAAATCATAAAGAGGCATTAAAACACAGATATACAAATACATATTTACAAATACATGCACACAAAAATAGGTCCAAAAGATTACGTTCACAAATAGATACAAAATATACAAAATACAGGTTTGTCTACAGGGGTAATAGATGTGAAAACAATGTTGTTTTAGTCTTAGCCATTGTTTAATACCCCAAATACAAACATTTAAATTGTGTTACATTTTCAACTAAGTTCAAGTTTAACATATTTACAGTCTTTCAAATATGAACAGCATTTACCATCCGTCTGACCCTCTCCATCTCTCTAAACTCTTCCAGGTCTCAGTAACATTATTGGCATTATTGTGTACATATCAGCCAACTCAGGGGACCCCAGCCAGAGCGACAACAAGAAGAGCTACTCCTACGGCTGGTCTTTTTATTTTGGGGCTCTGTCCTTCGTGCTGGCTGAGGTGGTGGGCGTCCTTGCAGTGCACGTGTTCATAGAAAAACACAGACAACTGCGCACCAAAGGCCGGCCGTCACTCAAGAAGCCGCCCATTTCTCGCAGCTCGTCTTACCTCCGCAACCGTTACTACCAGAGACGCTCCAGCAGATACAGCTGCAGGAGCGCCCACAGTGCACGGGACTCCATCTCACACTCCTTCAGAGCGTCCTTAATGCGAGACCGGGAGCCGTCCATCTGTGCTGAATCCAAATCCATGGCAGGTTTACCCATAGTGGACTCAGAGTTCTTGATCTACTCCTTAAACTCGTCTCTCAAGGACGATAAGATGGACATGGCTCTGGATGATTTGACTTCTCTGGCTTCCCTCAACAACACAGAGATGCTGCCTGAAAACTGTGCTTCCAATAGAAGGACAACTCCTGTGTGAGAGGAGAGGAAGTGAAAGGTGTACAGAGATGAAACACAAGAGGAACTTTCCTGGGACGAGAACATTAAGAGAAAGTCCTCTCACTTTTTTTTTGAGGAAACAGAAAAGGCTTTAGAGACCAAAACAGGCCGGCATAGACTTATCTGTCAGAAAATTGTGAAATCACAGTTCTCAGAGCCCAGCGTGACATCCACAAAATGTCCTGTCTGACCAGTTGAAAATAACTTATATTCATTTTACAAAATGTTCTTTGTATGTCATCCTGCTATGCTATTACAGTAGCTATATCCACAGTGTATATGTAGTGTGTGTGCTAATAAATGGGTGTAATATTATGAACGTATGTATGTGACAGACAGTCATGCAGAGAGAGACGAAGAGAAGGAGCTGTTTTTGAAATAAGAAACTATCAGATAGAAATGATAGGACACATACATCTGGGAATGACATGCTGTCCTGCTTTTTGTGGACCTTAGATTAAAAGGGAAAACGTAATCAAATACATTGAACGCAAAGATCTCTCTCCAGCTGTCTCTCACGGTTTGTAGGTTTGAGTGTATTGTATCTCATGTCAGCAAAACGTGTTGCCCTTATTACAGTTTTGTCATCAAGTCTTTGTTTACATTAAATAAAGCAAATTAAGACAAAATGTCCGTGGGAAGGAAGTAAGTATGGTTCAGGTTGTTACTTTGATGCATGGTCGTCACTTTGTAATAACAAGTGGTGTGGACAATTTATCCAGATCATCATAGCAGAAAACGAAATATGTCCCTCCCCTGGGTGTTGAACCTCGAGCACCTGCATGTGCTTTTAAAACCACAAACGCCCAAATATAGGTCTTGCTGTGATGCAATTTGAGTGAATTTGTACCTTTATACACACAAAGAGCAGCAGGTATACAGAACATGACACAAGTAACAAATAAATAAATAGATGCATAAATACAGAATACAGAAGAAATACAGGAATCAGTACAGGACTGAAAAAATGCAAGAATAAATAAATATGAAAATGTATAAACACAAGACAAAAATAAATAAATATAGGAATAACTAAATAAATGTATAAATAACAAATTATAAGTTGAGAATAAAGCAGAACACACATTATTATATATCTTTAATGTATTTCTACATTTATTTTCACTTAAATGTATATATTAATTCATTTCTGTGTCTGTGTCTGTGTTTCGCACAATGTTGTTTTGCTTGGTAGCCTTGTATTCTGTGGATACGACAACATTTAAACCATATGTACTTTCAAGTTCTCTGAAAGTTTCAACAAGTGCACGTGTCTTTAACAATATCTTTGAGTTGCTATCATATTTTATTTCACTTCCTCTGACCAGTCCCACTTTTAATTGGACGCTCCATGAGAAACACAGTGACTCTCCTCTCTTCAATAAATATTTGAAAAACAACACCGTGAATTTCCGGCGTATTCATGTTCTGTATAAACTGTAAAGCCTCCTGAGACAAAAGTACAATTTGTGATATTGGGCTAAATAAATAAACTCTGATTGAATTTGATTGATGGATTTGGCGCAAGAAGTACACTTCACTTCAGAGCCCTCAAGAGCCAGATATAAATGTTTATTAGTGTCAAAAATGGTGTTGCCATTAAAGGTTTTGCTACTACCTAAAACTCAGTAACAGGAGTGTTAGGGATAGGATTTCTATCAGGTTTGAGATCTTTGATTTATGCATGCTTTTATGCAGTAGGCACATCTAAGCTGGGAAAGGGGAGAATATTAAATTGTCTGCCCTTGCATAAATAAATACAGAAGCAAATGTCCAAGCCATTAGAAGAAAAAAAAAAAGTTATCAAAGATAATTGATCCCTCTGTGCTGAAAAACATGCAGGCCTTCTTGTATGTGGACATGCATCAGCAAGCTGTGTTAGAGACGATGGTGGTAAAGCATAAACAAATTAAAGAAATCTACAACAGCAGGCAGGGTGATGGGTTACCATGGCAGCAGCAGCATCACGCATAAACAGTGCCATCATGTACTAAGAACACCAGTACAAGACAACCCACAATTTACCTCACAGAGTAAATATTCTCTGGAATTGGGCATACTTCCTTTAGACAGTGTGAATGATTTTCAACCAAGGTTGATTTGTGTTAAAATCCTGGCAGTGGTTGGATTTGAACCCAAGAGACAGGTACTTTGACCCAGCAAATAGGACCACTCTGCCATGCTACCCGTTTTTAAATAGTCCGCCTTTTTACTAGCTTGTTCAATATAAAAATATAAAACAAAATGTTGCACTCACACTTGTCGTCTATTACAGTGCATATTCAATTTACACGGATGACCTAATTTATATTTTAAAATCCTGGTATTGCTTGCCAGTCTGTTATTGCAATGTCATGACAAAACCTTGGCAGCGGTGGGATTTGAACCCACGCCTCCGAAGAGACTGGAGCCTTAATCCAGCGCCTTAGACCGCTCGGCCACGCTACCCGTAGGAGGCCATTTTGAGAAGGCTGATTACGTAGTTTTCCGTATGTATGTAGAGAAAATTGGCCAATGAGAGTGCGTGCTCCAACATTTGTTGGCCAATTACGTTCGTTGCTCCAACCTTTGACCAATCACCGCGGATAAATGTTGTATAGAAGGCAATGTCGAAGAGCAACAGGAAACAAGATAGTTCGTCTCGTTTTTTTTTCATGTGACTTTAGGATGAACGCACATTATGGATAGATTGATTCATGAAATGAATACATATTAATAAAACAGTAGTGGACTCGCATGCTTGATTAAAGCCAAAAATAAATCTAACACAAAATAAATTCATCTATTAATAGTTTGGATATTTCTCAAAGTGTACAATTCTATGTGCACGCTAATTTCAGAACATTTTAAACAAATGATCCTAATGCAAAGTGTTGGGGACATGTCCCCAGCGTCCCCAGTTTAAATGGCACCTATGGGTTGGTGCGATCATAGACAAATATGCATACACCTAAATATGCGATGTCATCCACTGACGAAAGTGTGCTTCCATTTTGACATAAACCGAAGCTTCGTCTCTGACGGAAGTTCAACCTCTTGCCTTCATGTGTACTCTTTGGAAGAACCCTGGATGCATCCGGTTCCGACCTGCGCCATTTTGATGAAACAGCGAGGGTAGAAGCCGTTTGGAACACAGATATGGATTTTATGGATTTAAACTGAAGATTCATCTGGATACACAACTTTCAACTTTTCGTGATGGATCATAACCGCGCACTGAAGAGGAACCCTTGCATCATGATTGCCTAACTGGTGGATTTGTTAGATTATTCGATAGCTAATTTGGGCAACATTGTTAGCATAGCAACGTTAGCTTTTGTTAGGCATGTTACATGTTGTGGTACCGTTAGCTAATCTCGAGGTGTAGCATGTTAGCCTTGGCATTAGCTAACTAGCTAATTTCGCTTTTCAACGGTAGATTTCGATTTCAGAATACTCTCTTCAAGGTCTCACGTCGATAACGTAACATTTGTGGACTCGTTGCGGAAGCTTTTGTGGACTTTTTTTGTGGAGCTCGGTGGGATTTGTCTTGACTTGACAAATAAGAACTGTTTCAACAAGGCAAAAACACTTAAGGACTGATGCTCTGGAAACCCCAGGCCCGCTGTTAGCTACACCAGCGTCCTGTAGCTCGGCGGCCCGGGCTTTCCACCAAAGACAATTCACGGCGGACCTGGGCTCATTCACACCCTGTTATAGATTCACGTTGTGCTGCATGGACGCTCTTGGATTTGGTGGCACTTTGTTATGTTTGATCGGACTCTAAAGAACTGAACAGGCACACGGTGCCGCTCAATGGCACTCTGGCCTCACATCTCAATTATTTTTCTTTTGCAATAACAAAGACTCTTTCGTAATTTGCGAGCTGAACCCTTCCCCCCCATTTTACTACTTTATTTGTCTGCAGTGTTTCAGCGAATATAAAGAAGGTTTATCAATTAAAGTCACCAGTTTAGCTGTGTTCAGTGTTGACGCTGTTTTATTTTATCATACCAGGCCTGTGTTTTTTTTCTTGTGCTTGATTGACTTAAGTGCTTAGATCTGTTAAAATGTCGTGTGTTCACTATAAGTTTTCTTCCAAACTGGACTACAACACAGTCACTTTCGATGGACTGCATATCACCCTCAACGAGCTTAAAAAGCAGATTATGGGCCGAGAGCGCCTCAAGGCCACAGACTGCGACCTGCAGATCACCAATGCGCAGACTCGAGAAGGTATGTGATCAGCTGACGCATTACAACACTTGGCACGAAAATGTTATCCAATATTTTTGGAATTAACGGTATAAGAATCATTTACATTTTAGGACCGTAGTATTTTCGAATTAAAAAAAACTATATTGTGATACACCAGCTATCATAACAAAAGTATTAGATTACATCACACCAAACGAAAAGAACCAAAACAATGATTGAATCGATGAACGTCTATGATTCTTCTTTTCTAAATGACTATTAATAATGACCAATTATTGATGGTGACAAAAGTTGCAAACACATTTTTTGTCAATCTATAGTTTTAACTCCGTGCCATTTGTCTTAATTACATATATTAATTTATTGTATACATCAATTATAATACCCATAATATTATGGCTATCAACTTCCTAATTCATACTAAAAAACGTAGGTTTGTATCCATTTCTATGATCTTATTGTAATGCTATATTATATCGCTTAAAGTTAAGTTGTGAGATGATTCAAGCCATTGTCATAGCAGTATATGTTAAGACACTAATGAACATAACTTATGAACAATGTTCTATGTTTTCTTATAATTTGTGTCATGTTTTGCAGAATACACAGATGATGAAATCCACATCCCGAAGCACTCGTCCGTGATCGTTCGCCGTACTCCGCTTGGTGGAGTAAAACCTGCTGGCAGGACGTTCATTGTGTAAGTGTACATACTATTACTTGAGTCACGATTGAGCAGTATGATTGCTTATAATTTGAAGTCATTAACAGATTTGTTCGATTTCCTGATTCATTTTAAAGCAGCGATACAAGGTGTTCTATTAACTAATTATAGCTGTATATCCTGTAGTCAGTCACAAGTTGCCTTTGAGTCATGTCAACAACTGATGTCTTTATTCGTTTTGTTTCTGCAGAGATCGTTCTGACACAGCTGTGGTGGGATCTTCTAGACCCGTATGTAAAACAAACCCCAATTCAACACTCTCCTCTCACCTCTCTCTCTCCCCCTTTTTCTTGCTTTAGTCACCTTTCTTGAGAACATTCTGTCAGCAATGATTACGTTGTGTGTATCCTCTGTTCACTGTGTGTTGGCTACATTTGTGTTGAGATCTCAACCTCTATGTGTTATTTGATGTCTTTGTGGGAGGGTTTCTTGGAGTCAACACAGCTAAAAAAATAGTTTGTTGTTTCTCTAAAAACCCTGGGTTTCTGTTTTGAAGTAAGCAGATTAAAGTTTACAATTACTGAAAGAGATGAGGTTAAGATGAGAAACAACAGACTAGCCACCATTGTTTTTCTTATGCTCTGAACCTAACGATTGTTGAACTGTTGACAATTTTTTAACTGACTGAAGAAATAATTTAAACTGTTAATGACTGTATTTCATAATGAAATGGTTTTGTAGCCTGCTTCAGGCTAGACAAATGTATTTTAAAGGGGTTTGTAAAGGGAAAATATCATATTTTTGTATTGATAATTGTCATTTTATTTTCTGTGAAAATATTTAATCCTTATGTGGTTAAGAACCCAATGAAGTACAGTGTGGCTGGGATTGATTGATTGTAATTAACTTTGATTACAATTACAAGACTAAAGTTGTGTGGGTGGAAAAGACTCGCCAGTGGTTTTTGTTTTGAACGCTCATCCTGCTAAACTTTAATACCTAAATCTGTTGTTCAGTAACATTTGCCAATGTCAATTGTTTTGTCCTGTACAATTTCACCATTAAGATGTTCTATTCTGCATTGAATATGGACTGCACATAACCCTTAGAGGCACACATATTTCATCCTGATGAGTTCAATGCTTTGAATTAATTCAGATAACTAAGTGTCTGTTTTTACAAAGAACCAGGTATGGGTTAAAAGCTAGTTTTGATACGTGAGATGCTGTGCCTTAGCCACTGGCGTATAATGTTGTGCCATTATCACAAAGTACTTTGACACATCATCAGTAAATATCTTGTCAATCTCTGGAGGCTTTCCAAGGTTGCTGCAGTGAGAAGTATACTGGTGTAGTGTGTCCTGTAAGCTGTAAGCTGCAGAACCTGTCAATAAAGTTCTTCAGTGGTTCCGTGTCAGAACCGCGTGCACCAGATCCCTGTGTGTTCCCTCCACAGCATTCTGCAATACCCAGTCTTTCCTCTGAGCCCTGCAAATCATGATGGACAACCCATCCTGTCTACTTTTTATTTACTTGTTCGCAAGTATGAGGCAGAGCAGCCATTTTGTTTATTGCTAAGAATTACGTTTTATTTTTGACCATGCGTGAGACTTAATTCTCATCGCTCATTGACTCCTGACCTGCATTTGAAACATCCCTTCAGTTGGATTTTAGCCTTCACTCTGTAGTGGTTTAATGGGTTATTTAAGGGTAACTTCTGAAGGAACACTTGACTTGTACATTTCTTCTTCTTCTAGCCCTTTCATTTAAAAGAAGCATTTCTACATTTGTGTCTCGTCAGCTCGAAATATTTGACACTTAACAGTGCCTGCCGCTCTCATTAAACATCTTGGCACCAGTCCCTGCATGCTCATTAAGTTACAGAAGAAGTCTTGAGCTGGTTTTAATGAAAGCTCTTACAACTATGACAAGTCGGTGCAAAAAGTTAAATCGCTGTGTGCCGGTTAAGGGAAAAGGCATGCTAAGATTAAATGTCAAGTTTTCCTTTGAGAAAATTGCCCTCTACTTCTGCATCAGAAGAAGCTTTACTGTCTCAAACGGAGGGATGTGACAGTATTTTATATTTAGAATATGCTGATTTGGCTCAAACAGTGAAGACCGTTTGAAGTGATGAAGAAGCGGTTCGACATAATAACCATAGTTATAACTTAAAGACTCAGCAGGTCTATCATTTCAATTTTTCAGGATAGTAAATTGCAAGAGTGAGATCGCTGTCATACTTTTATATTGCCTGGTAACCATTTTCTAAAAGTGAGTTTGCATAAAGGACAAACTGTTAATTGTTAAAAGTCCGTTTTTTTTGTAGATCCTTATATTTTGGTTAATATCCAAACAATTTTAATATTTTAATTAAAAGTGGCTTAAAAATAAACCAAACCCTCAATGAGACTTTCACAAGATCAGTTTTATTTTAATTGTCTTTGAATATGACTCAATGCTTTCAGTAGAGGGGAAAAGCCATATCTTCTTTTTTTAATGCTCACTCGTATACCTGCATTATCTCAACGAGTACTCAACAAAGACTTAGATGGACGCTCTAAGGGACTGGACACAGATGTGGTGGGGAACTATCTGGGCTCTTCCAGTGTTAATATATTATATATGATGTTATAACCTTTAATATCTGTACTCTGATTCTCCTGCAGACTGATTCTTCTCCATCTATGTCACTTGCCCAACTCGCCAAGGTACTGTTCTTGTACATGCTGGCTGTAATTCTAGAAAATGTTTTGTAGTGAGTACATGTTTCCTCTTATCTTGTGAGGTCGACAACCTCCTTTTATCTTTTTTGCTTTCCCTGCTTTCCCATTTTGTTTTTTTAGACGGCTAACCTGGTTGACGCTAATGCATCAGAGGACGACAAGATTAAAGCCATGATGTCTCAGTCCAATCATGAATATGACCCAATACAGTTAGTACACGCATTGTGTTCTTGTAATTGATTAAAGTCACAATTTCTGTGTTTTTCTTTGAAGCTCATAGCCGTGTACTAAAAATTCTGAAGCTGTATCTAGTTTTTAATAAATGTATTGAACTTCTCTCTATAGTTACTCCAAGAAGGCAGTTGGACCTCCGCCTGCTCACTATACCTGCTTTCGTTGTGGAAAGGCTGGCCACTATATTCGACAATGCCCCTTGCTCCTGGTAATTATTGATTATTCATAGTATATAGGGTTCATCTCTACTTTGTGACAGTTGGATGATTGGATGATCATTTTGTTAGATCCAGGATAAGAGCGTGGAGGGTCCTAAGCCAGTAAGGATCAGTAAAGGCATTCCTCAGAGCTTCATGGTGAAAGCAGAGCCAGGCACTAAGGGAGCCATGTTAACCAGCACCGGAGAATACGCCATACCTGCAATAGATGCGTATGTCAACCCACAAATACACACTGTATAATATACTTTTAAAGCACGTTGAGTGGAGTCACATGTGTCTTTGTCATTTCCCATTTTGTAGTTGCTTCAATAAAAACAGTAATTTTTTTCTTTTGCTAGTGACATGTTGACCTCGAAACTCAAAAACACATTTCTGTTGATACAGGGAGGCATACGCACAAGGAAAGAAGGAGCGGCCTCCGTTTGTTCCGCACGACCAGTCATCATCTGAGGACGACACAGACCCAATCCCCGACGAACTGCTGTGTCCGATCTGCAACGACCTCATGACGGATGCCGTAGTGATACCCTGCTGTGGAAACAGTTACTGTGACGATTGTGAGTCCTTACTCATAATGGGCATTAGTAATACAGAATTAAAGTCAAAGCTGGTCTATGCCAAGCAAATATTTGATTGTCTGTTTTAAGGTCCCGCTACATAATCATATGCCCGCACTGTGTGGACGTTTAAGGGAAAGTGGAAGTAATACTAATTTAATCAACAGTAGCCCCTAGAGTCCGCAGCACAGCGACATGTCATTGTGTCGTTTTTTAAACTCTCATTTTAATGCAAGTGTATTTGGAATTATTTTACATTCAATGTCTGGGAATTTTTAAATCTCCTTGAAAGTCTAATTATGCTCTCTAATTGTTTAGTGAACATATTTTCTCAAAAATGGCACCCTATCATAAATGTGAAAAGAATGTGTAAACAAGATATGTATTTGTTATTTATATTGTTATTTCTAATAAAGAACTGTTTGGTTTCAGGTATCAGAACAACCTTATTGGACTCCGAGGAGCACATCTGCTTCACATGCAAACAGTCAGACGTTTCACCGGATAATCTTATCGCCAACAAGTTTCTTAGACAGGTAACCCCCCCCCCCCCCTGAAAATGCAAGCGTTTTGCTGTGTGCATTTCAATTGAACTAATAGCAAAACTAGAAAAACTATACTTTTAACAATATGTATCATCTGTTTTCTTCATGCAGGCTGTCAATAACTTTAAGAATGAGACGGGATACACCAAACAATTGCGCAAGCAGGTCCAAAATTCAGCCCCGCCTCCACCGCGCCTCCAGCTGCTCCGGCAGTCCAGGCAGCAGGACCCACTGATGGCTCACATCCCTCAGCCCCCTCCTCCTCCTCCTACTCCTACGATCACCCCCCCCACTGCCCCCACTGCCCCCCCAGTAAGGGTCCCGTCTCCCGCAGCTGCTCCTTCACCTGCTGCTGCTGCTCCTGCCCCTGCATCTCCTTCTGCTCCTACCCCTCCTCATGCTGACTCTGTTGAAGAACTGTTGAAGGAGGTTGATTCTCCAGCCCCCGAACCTGTTGTTGACCACCACTCTCCTATGCACTCCACCAGCCACAGTGAACCACCCCCACGCGGGTAAGTTTACCTCTTGGATTAAATGATTTCACCTACGCCAACCTACTCAAAAGGTTGACTTTTTGAAGTGTATAATAATTGTAACTTATCATAATGTGTCTGTTATGTTTTAGTGAGGTGGATCCTGAACCTTATGTGAGACCAGACTCATCAGGACCCTCGGAAAGTGGACCACCGGTGAGTCTGCCTTGAACACCTGAATGAATCCCGTCTCACTGCCTTTAAACGCATTCGCTGCAACATGAGATTCAACATGTGCACATTATCTACCATCATATTGGAGGCGTGTGGCGCAGTGGATAGAGCCTTGGTGTTGGGATCAGGGGGTCACAGGTTCAAGCCCCACTGCAGTCAGCATGTCGTTGTGTCCCTGGGCAAGACACTACACCCCAAATTGCTCCTGTGGGGATTGTCCACAGTATTGAGTATGTAAGTCGCTTTGGATAAAAGCGTCTAACAAAACATTTTGTCAAATTTGTATAAAAAAGTATTTATATGTATTATTGTAAGATTACCAGCAAATATTGAATTTCAGAGCTGATGACTAATCTCTCGCAAATGCAAAATAAATGAAGCATTACTTGCATTTGCATCCATGATTGCGAGGATTGGTAACTTCCCATCGGGGTAACAGCATTTCTCTCTTCTCTTTTCCCCAGCAGAACTACCGTTTACCTGTAATGGGCCACCCGCCACCTTTAAGGCCACCTCCTCCTCATCCTCCTCATCTTCCTCATCCTCCTCCTCATCCTCCTCATCCTCCTCATCTTCCCGGTAAGAACTTCAATTTAGGCCATACAAGGAGATTAAGTAACCTTGAAATCAACTTTTTTACCTGGAAATAACAAATTCTTGTCACTGCTTTATCAGGTCACCAGTCCCGGCCACACCACCAATCTCACAGGGGGGGAGGCAGGCCCTGGGAGAGGTAAGACCCCATAGATCTGATCTGTTTCAAGTTTCTTTTGTAATATGTCGGCCTCACAATGATTTGTGTCCATCTCTTTGTGCCAGGTTTAACAGAGGCAGACCGGAGCACCCCCCCCCTTACCTCCAGACAGGCCCACCCCCTGCACCTATTCCTCCAATGTACCCCGCACCCTCCATGTACCCTCCCCCACCACAGTCCTACCCACCTCCGTACTCCTCTGGCCCTGGCCTTCTCCCTCCTGTCATGGGTTACCCACCCCAGCCTGTGTATGTCCCCGGACCACCACGGCTGAACCCCCCCTGGGTTCCCCCTGGTGTCCAGCCCCCTCTTATGCCCCTGCCCCCCATGCCTCAGCCCCCCCTCTCTAAAGAAGATTTCTACAGACAGCGACACCACAGACAAGAAAAGTAAGTGGTTTCTTTTTCATTTTGGGTCCTCAAACTCGTTACGTCACTTCTAAAAACTACAAAGCTCTTACATTTTGATTTATGTTTATAGCACACATTTAGATTTTTGTATTTTCTTCAGATTCTTTTTACGTTATGTACCAATACCCAAAGCAAATGTCTTTTATGTGAAGACCTACTTGACATTTACCTTTTTCTGTGTTCATTTCACATAAACAATTTGCATTCAGAAAGAATATTACAATCACTCAGGGTTGGAATCTTGAATTAGTAATTGCAGATTTTCAACAAGTGTTTTTGTCTTTGTATCCACAGTGTCACATCCAAACTAGATGAATTTACTAAAGACTTCCACAAAGAGCTTATGAAGTACAGAAATGCACCAAAGAGAAGAAAACCATCTTATTCAAGGTAACTTCATCAAGCGAGCATATCACAAATTGTTTATAGTTCCTAGAACTCATCCCAGATGAATATTCCTTGAAGCCATTTGTTACTATGTGTTCCTGATCTCCTTTCTTTCTCCCCTTGTTTTCTTCTGGTTCCTTAACTTTCTTTTTAGATCCCGGTCCTACAGTCGCTCTCCGTTCAGCCGTTCTCCTTACTCTCGCTCCAGATCAAGATCCAGGTCCTACTCTTATTCCCCGAGTCGATCCCGCTCACGCTCCCATGGCCGCTCCTATCCCCGCTCCCCTTATTCAAGACGTAATGGACGTAGTTATGGACGCTCACGTTCAAGGTCCCGCTCTCGCTCAAGGTCTTATGGATATCGGCGCTCTGGCTCCCCACGGTCCCCTCCCCCTTTCCGCCCAGGAGGCTGGGAGGGAGCAGAAGGAGCCGGACCCGGACCCGGACCCGGTCCCGGTCCCGGTCCCGGTCCCGTACCCTACAGGTCACGCTCTCGCTCCCCTGGCCCTGGCCCTGCTGGTTTCCGTCCCCGCAGCCCTGGAGGACGAAAGCCGCCCCCCCGGGAGCTCCCGCCGTATGAAATGAAGGGTCCGAGTCCTGGTGGCAATGACCGCTGGGAAAAAGAAAGGTATCGACAGTGGGAGAAGGAATATGCAGACTGGTACAACAAGTACTACAAAGGCTATGACAACCAACATCCCTCAATGCATCACAAAGGTCGTGGCAGCAGAGACAGGGAGAAGGACAGAATGTCCCCATTAAATAGAGACTACTCCCCCCAAGGGAGAGGAAGAAGAGGGCGTGAAGAGAGAGGTGCCCCCCCTCATCATCCTCAGTCTTCCTCCTCCTCGGCCGCCAAGTCCAGTTCCAAACTCTTAAAGACAAAGAAAGTAAAGAAGAAGAGGACTGGGGACGAGTCTGAGTCATCCCATCAGTCAGTGGACAGAGGGGACGCTACTCCTGTCAGAGACGAGCCAATGGACGATGTGCCTTCACTCCTTAAATCTCCTCCTTCTTCCTCAAAGGCTTCAGCTGGAGCCGCATCCTCTAAAGCCGCATCCTCTAAAGGCGCAGCCAGCAAACCCTCAACCAAGTCAACATCGAAGACTCCGTCCGATAAGACGAAGAAAGACAAGGCACTGAAGGTCAAAGCTAAGGTCAAGACAGAGGGCGTGAAGGTTAAGACGGAGAAGGTGAAGAAAAAGACTGTGGAGGCAGTTGTTAGCAAAAAGAAAGACTCTTCCTCCTCTTCCTCTTCCTCTGCCACTAAGCCGCTAAAGACCGTTAAACCCAAACAAGAAGATGCCCCAAACCCAACTACCCCTAAAAAGGAAAAGAGTAAAAGCTCAGCAGTGAGGCCCCCCCTGCTAAAGACCCCTCCACTGTCCTCTCTACACCATCCCTCTCTTCATGACGGGCTTCGCCAGGGCCACGACATCCACGGGAGAAGGGATCTCCCCCAGGGCGGTGGTCTCCTCCCCCTCCCTCACCAACACGGACTCCCTCTCCTCCTCCACCGCCCTCCCTCCCCTGACAGTCGGAGGAGAATGGGTGACGAGGGCCGCTCTATTCTCGGACCCCCTCCTGGAAAGCTGAGGAGAATTGATGGGCTCGGGGGTGGAGGTGGAGTTGATGTCATGTCCCATTCCCACATGTCTCACCAGCCCCCCCTCCACAGACTCCCCCACTCAGACAGACCGGGTCTTCTTCCCATACCAGGGAGCCGCGAGATGGGCCGGGGAGAAGCAGAGCGAGGGTCCATCCGACCGCTCATGGACCTTCAGGTGGGTTTGTCAGAAACACCAGGGTACAAAGATTTGTTTTACAGAGGGTATTTAAAATAGTTGTATTATTATACAATCTTTTCTCTTCGCTTGTTAAGTTTGTTACAACTCTAATTCTACATTTAAGTGTATTTTTTTTTTTCATCAGTTACATAATAATGTTTAAAATGGAACAAAACTAAAACATTTAAATAAGAAAAATCACAATTTCCAGTTTCCCTTCTACTCCGTAACCCAAAATGTAAACTGCTCTCATTAATCGACTTATAATTCTCTTGTAACATTTTTGTATGTGTTTTCATCCACATCCAGGTGAAGCCCCTGACCCAGAGGAGGATCAAGTTGAACAGAGATCTGGGGAGAAAAGGCAGCACTGAGACCCCACCCTCAGACAGAGCCCCGTCGGGTCCCGAGAAGACGCCCTCCTCCTCGGACCGATCAGCTGCGGCTAACGTGTCCGAAGGAGACCGAGCCAGCAGTGCAGCAGAAGCAGCCGGAAGGAAGGAGCGGTCTGCATCTGCTGAGAGGGGGGTCTCCAGAGAGAGACCAGGAAGTGCTGGAGACAGACCTCAGGGATCGGACAGGGAGCAGAGCAGAACCTCGGGACAGGACAGAGAGCGAGACAGAGGGTCTGACAGAGACCGAGAGAGAGGCACTGCGTCTGAGAGGGACAGAGAGAGAGGCACGCCATCCGAAAGAGACCGAGAGAGAGGCACACCGTCCGACAGAGACCGAGAGAGAGACAGGGGATCACAGAAGATCGCAGTCACGGTGGAGAGAGACCCTGAAGCTGAGAGGTCGGTGAGGACGGAGCGAAAGAACTCCGGTTCAGGAGGGCGGTCTGTCTCTCTGGATAAAATGACCATCGCAGAGAAGTCGTCCACCTCCAGGAGCTCCACAGAGCCTCAGGAGAAGCCGAGCACATCCTCCAAGGAGAGAGGCGAAGGGTCAGAACGATCGGCTAAATCTCACAGGTTTGTACATGTGTTACTCTGCTACTCATCAGACCACTATTCATATCCATTAACGAAAGAAAACATGATACAGTGGCTCTTTAAACACAGCTGTTAATGTGTGTCACTTGATCTCATTTCCCAGGAGTGTGTCAAAGGACAGAGCGGAGAGGAGTGTCCCTGCAGGAGAGAAGCCAGCTGCTGCTGCTCCTCACAGAGAAGGTAATCTTTGTTCTTTAAGAGAGGATCACTTTTTACATCTATTTATGCATTTATTGAACCTGTGCTTCCTCCCATTTTCTCTCGCAGCGGTTAAAGACAGTGAGGGGCCAGTTGTTAAAAGCAAACCGAAGATCAGCAGGAAGGTCCTGACCAGCTCCACAAAGTGAGTCTGATTTTTGTCTGTTAATCAGGAACAATTTCATGTTTTTATAGGTTTCATAATTTGTTGTTGTATAATTCCTTAGTGTTTTATTGTTCATTGTCATTGGTTCAACCTATATATCAAATTTCCTTGGACATTCTTAGAAAGGTTATTTGAAATTGTCGATAGTTTATTTTGTTATCAGGGATGGGTACTATCATGTTTTACTTAATGGATACTTGGTATCAATCCTCTCCAAGTCTATAATGTAAAATTACATTTCTCAACATGTTGAGCCATTTATTTTAAGAAGTTTCCATCTTCAAATAAAAACCAATGGAGCTAGGAAAATAAACTTGCATCTTTGACGATCAATAACATTCCAAAGATTGACTGGTTCCATTTTCTCAGTTATGGCCATTTGCTGCTTTTCAAATAGTTTGAAGATGGCAGCCAATTATTTGATTATAAAACAATATATATTCCTTGCAGCCTCAGGAAAAAGTGTTTTGATTACACAGCGTTGTTGATGTGTGTAAAGAGTGAGCCAGATAGTGATGACACTTGAGTCTGCGTCTGTTTTGGGGGTCAAGACTTCTTCCCAGACGCATGTAGCCGCACGGGAGACTAGCGGCCGGACTCTACATTAGCTGCTATTAGCTCAAACAGCCAAAGCTCTGACCAAACCGTCAGCGGCGGTGTTGATTTATCTGTAAAGTAGGCGACATGTTTTCACAAGAAAGAAGAATGCATGGAATACAAAAGGTGATCTCTCTGGTTCATTTGGTTTAGTTTGTAAACCGTTGATCGTAAATCCGACATTGCTGTACCAATGAAATGCTACATTTGTGAATGACCCTTTTTAAACATTGGCTGTTTTTCCCTCAACACTAGGTCAACTCAAGAAACAAAGCGAGAGTCAGACAAAGATCAGAAGAGTGCCTCCTCCAAACCTGCAGAGCAGCCTCCCTCCAGCCCTGTGGGCGCCCGCAGCCCGAGCCTCAGCCCGGCAGCGAGCCCCGCTAGGGAGGAGCCGGTCATCCAGCCCCCCCCTCGCTCCAAGTGGGAGAGAGAAGAGGACGAAGAAGGCCAGGAAAACGGACTTACTGCACCCAAGGAGCCCTCACCAGCACCACAGAAGAGCCGAGGCAGGGAGGGGCAGAGCGAAGCACCTAAACCCGTCAGGGGGGAGGGTCAGGATGCAACCAGGGAGGAGAGGAGAGGAGTCACAAGGGAAGAGAAGAAGGCGAGGGCACCCAGGGAAGAGGGTAAAGGTGGGAGGACGACACAGACAAATTCTGACAAACCAACCAAAATCAAACTTGGGAGGGAGGAGGGGAGAGGAGGAAGAGAGGAAGGCAGAGCTGCAAAGAGAGATGAGGGGCGAGGAGTGACAGGGAAGGAGGAGAGGGCTGCAGAAGGCAGAGGGGTGGGAGGACCAGAGCCCAGGAGACAGCGCCTGTGCTCGGACCTCGGTCGGGAGACAGACGAGGCCGCCTTTGTGCCCGACTACAGCGAAGGAGAGGGGTCAGAGGCGGAGAGAGGGAGGAGCGGCAGCGCCAGCCTCTCCAACAGCCAACCCTCCACCCCCACCCCTAGCAACCACAGCGGCACGGCAACATCCACCACCGGGGACAAGAAGAAGAAGAAACACAAGAAACATAAGAAACACAAGAAACACAAGAAGCACAGCGTCCAGGAGAAAGAAGGAGAGCAAAAGGAGCACAAGCACAAACACAAGAAAAAGAAACACAAAAAGAGCAAGGACAAAGATGTGGAGGAGGAAGACGAGGAGAAGATGGAGAAAGCAGAGGAAGTGGCTTCTTGCTAACAGGGGCTAGGCTAATACTGCCGCCCAAATTCTGTGACGTTCCTTGTTAACGAGGAGATAATGATGCATCTAGAAATATCCGCTAACACTGGCTTGCTGCTCCTTGTGCCACTCTGAAGGAAATGGATGAAACGAGTCTTTGTCCCTGACGCTGGCTGTCTTTCACTTCATGTCACGGCAGCGTTATGACCCCTTCCTTTAATGTTCAACGTGAGCCTCTTCTTTGTGACTTTGGGTCAAAACTCTGGAGTGAAACTGAGCTGCACTATTGTGATCAAACTAGCGCCCGCCAGAAAGGACTTTTATGGAGATAACTGATCACACAGCAGTGAATTGAAACGATAGGAATAACAAACACTGTACTCAGGGATGTGATTGCTTCTCTGTAGACGAGGAATCACTCTTTCTCCGCCTCTGATTAATTTGTAAATAGAGATGAACTATTGCTTCTAATAATAATCATTTCTGCTCGGTTTGTTTTGCTCACATCCCTGTGTGCTGTTCAAGGTTAACTTACTGAATGACCTTCATTGTAATGAGGGCCGCTCTTTGTTTAGGGACTGTACTTTGGTTTTGTCTGTTATAGCAGATTAAGTTCAAAATCGTTTATGCTTTTCATGACTGCTAACCATTTTCAAGCCTTATCTCATTTTCAGGCAGCCGTTGGTTTCAATCATTGTAGTAGTTTTTCTTTTGGTACTTAACAGATGTAAAAGGGAGGCAACAAAACCTTCTTGCAAGGTTAACATTTCTTACCAAACGTAATAAGAAAGAAATCCAGTAATTCTTTGGAAATGGTTAGCATTTATTTGTTATTGATGTGCGAAAGCCGGCAGAATCGCCGGTATGGTCCTTTTTTAAGTTAAAACAAATCATTATGTGGCCATGCCACAGTGGATTGTTTGAATCTAGGATGTGTTTATTAATAATGTCAAATCGGTCGGCATGTTTTTGTTCCAAAGGTGCAGTAGCTGTACATTATTCGTCTTGAGTGAGTGAATGTGTCGGTGTGAAAGTGAAATGTGACAGAAGTGAGGCGAAGTGGAGGACAGGTGTTCTTACAGACGAGTTGTTACTTTTCTTTTTTTTATTAAAATGTTTTGACCTGAAGAAAATGTGTCAGTGGTATTTTATCAATCATTGAACCCCTTTTTGTGTGATGACCACACAGATGGAGGTCACCTGTTCTTTGTTGTACGACGTTCACAACATTTGAACTATTAGGAACACCAACTGAATATTTTAGGTGTTTAAAAAAAAATGATAAGGTACAAGGAGGTTTTTTTATCAATTTCTTATTAAAAAGTGCAAAAACCACAATAATATAAAAAATGAATTCAGTAAAAAAACGTATATAGCTAACCATGTGCTTAAACTTAAACATTGCACGGTACAATATAGTGCTGTTGGTGTCAATGAATGAATAATGTGGAATTACTCTTACCGAAATAAATAACATCTTATACAGCGGATGGCATTGAGATCAAACCCACTTTACAAGGACTCTAAATACAGTAGATATAACACAAGTAATCAAAGGTTACCGTATACATCCACGAGTTATACAACAAACAGGCCACAACAGTTAAATGAAAACAAGCATTGCACTGATCTGTCAATCAAAAGGGATTTACGTTGATTGAAAGGGATTACTTTACTCTAATTTGAGTTTATGTTAATTGTTCCACTTCCCAACCTCAGCATTGACTTGATAGTTCGCAAGATCCAAATCGAATTGACCTAAATTTAAAAAGAAAAGTTCCGTTTACTTAAAAGAAGAAGAATACTGCTACTAGCTGAGACGTACATTTAATTGGTTGGGCTTGTGTGGAGATCAAACTAAAACTGTTACCTGCTTTCCTTTTGGTTCCCCTGTGCTCCTATCATCTAAGAATATGTAAACCAGTGTATTGCTCTATTTAAAATGTAATATCTATTTACTTGGGTTCATTAAGAAGTCAAATATTCAAAAGAAGGCTTCTAGAAACTACATGAAATAATAAAATAGTTTTTATATACTTTTCTCTTGATTTCCCATGCAGTTTAAGCCCCATGGACCACTCCTTATTGTCAGATCAAGTCTTACATTTATATTGCATCTCTGGAGCCTTAGTTTCAACACCAAAAATAAATATAAGAAAAAGAAGCAAGACGAGAAACAACGCCAACAAAGACACAAACATACTGAAAACCCCCAACAAGAAACAAGAACACATACAATCACTGTTTATTCAAGACCCTTCAATGGCTCCATATTTATTTTAAGATTGATTGGTGCACAAAGAGTGCTTCAGTCTGCCTCTGTTAAATTGAAGAACCATGTTTCTCTGATTTGATGTTGACAATGTATGATGTTGTATTCACTGTTCAGGACATGGTTGGGGTCAGTGGAAATGTTTTATCCAGCCTTTATAAATGCTATTATGTCAGGCTGATTCATGGAGTTTCTTAATATAGGCAATAAAAAGAAGACTTATTGCAGCACATGGAGTATCAGATATATTTGGAAATAAGTAGATTTTGCAGAGAGGATGAAGTATGTCCTCGAAAGCAGTTCCTCAAACACAATGGTGAGTTTCTGGCAGCTCATCCCTTTGCAAACATGAATAATTAAAGTAAACGTCCCATGAGGAGATAGTGCAGTGACACAGATTGAACACTATGTGGAGCTGTGAGTCCTGCAACTTTTCACATAGGAGGGAAACAGATTAACAATACAAATCTTCTCTCAGCTCCAAAATACAACCCCACATGACGCTCAAAGAGCACACGGCAATAAGGTTCATTATGTTTTTGTTAGTGCACGTTGAAAGGGTCAGAGAGATGGCGTAACTGTTGGATCACAGACTGAAGAGAGAACAGAGAGAAATGAGACAGCAGCAGATGTATTTCCTCATAATCAGCTGCACATAAGAGCACCTTCTCAGCTTAGTGCATGTCTTTTGTGTGTGTGCGCGCGCAAGTGTGTGTGATTATATATTTAAGGTTATCCTTAATGGACTCAGATGGGACCATTAGAGGAGATTAATATTGTATTTGTTTTAACCCCTGCCCAGATAATCATCTCAACACGTTGTTCTTCTCATTTACTGTCCTGCAAGCTTAATGTGTGTGTCTGCGTGTGTGTGTGTGCATCTGTTACCCGCTTGTGTATTTGTGTGTCTGCTGCTTGTGTATTTGTGTGTCTGCTGCTTGTGTTGTTGCCTTATAGCATGACATCGTTTCCTGTCATCAAGGCTAAAGGTTGCTAAGCAACTTCACTCCTGCCGATTGTCAGAAAAGATGCTTCTCCGCTGACTGGCTCACAACCTAACTCTCTCTTATGCTGTCATAAATGTAATGTCTGAGCAAGATGCTGGCTGAGTGTGCTTGGCTGCCCATGCGTTTGTATGGACCACTGTGCATTTCTGCTTTGCAAACACGGTACAGAACAAGCTGAGGAGAGAGGAGACAGTGGGATGTGGAAATGTGCAAATGTATCGTCTGATAGATTTTTGTAAAAAGGGAAAGTGAATTTTGTTAATGCATGGCAGGATCCCTCCAGTTGTTTTTCTAAATTATACAGCAAAATATCTGAGCAGCCCACAGAGTGTGATGAATTACCCAGTGATGGGGCAACTTGTCACTAATGCATGTTCCCTACACAACCATTCATAACTCCATATTTAAGTGAGATGTACAGATCTAAAGATAATGCATGTGTGCACTATCACTTATCTTTTTAAATATGAAAAAATGGTGATGTACTTTACTGAGAAGTGAAAGGTGAAAGCTCTCTTGCTAGTTGTTGAGACATTTATATGGGCACAACGAAAGTCTTTTCTCAGTCTTGACACAAATGTGTGCCCAAAGACCATCATTGCCATCCCCAAACACCACATGAACCCCAAGAAGAGTGTAGTTTTTAAGCATCTTATATTTAAAAACGTGTTATAGTGTACGTTTTTTACAAATAGGCCTATTTTAAAATTATATATATACCATTACCACTTCCTTATAATATAAGTGCTATCAACCTGCTCTTTCTACACGTCCTGTTGATCCCTGCTATGTATCCTGTCATTATTCTATCTGCGGGGCTGAGCCTGTGGGGAGATAATGTACTTGGTCGTGTGTGTGTGTTTTTGTTCTTCTGTAACCGTCTGTCACTCCGCAGTTAATTTGGCACTCTGCCTGACCCATCTACCCAATCATTTTGTGCTCATTTATGACAGTTTGCTCAAAGACCTCTGACCTCTCATTCTGAACTGCAGCATCTGCAGATTAATTCTTTACCCAATCATGTATGATTCACCAAAGTAATGCACAATACAAGATAAATAAATCCCTGTTTTCGTGTTCTCCACTGCCATCTTGACTGTGAGGGAGCCCGGCGTGACAATCAAGCTATAGATTCAACTCTTTGGGAGGAGAGAGAAACACATCTGGTGGAGATCTGCACTAGTGAGTGCACTTTTCTACCTTCATATGTGCCAGGCACATTCAATTTTAATTTATTTCAAGGTTCCTCCTGAATGCAAATGTTTGACCCGTATTTGCTGTGATCCTTCATAAGTTGTTTATTGATATCTTTATGAACTAAATATTTGACACTGTCATGTGTCGACTGTAACATTAAGATATACTGCGTATTATACATATTTAGGTAAAGAGGCAGAAAAGCCATGTTTACACAACAGACGGATAATTATGGTTGTCTTCTTCAAACCGCTGCTGTGAAAACTGAAACTTTAGGAAGATGACATCGACACCACTGACCATGGTGTGTGATCTTTTAACCTCTTCATACACTACCACTGTTAGCAGGTCAAACTGTGCAGTATCTGCTAAGTGTCACACTGCTGTGTGTGTTTGTGCACATGTACAGTGTGTGTGCCGTTGTGCTCTGTATCAGGATGTGCCCTCAGGTGGTTGTCATGGCAATTTCAGTGATTGATCAGGATTATTGATCCCTAATCGAATTCCCACGGACAGTGCATGTGGATGTGTGTGTGTGTGTGTGTGTGTGTTTGCATTTGTGACAATGGCATACAATAAAAACACTTCCCCGTATATAATGTTATGTGATGGTCACCATGGAAACACACCCAAGGGGCTCCTACCGCTCACTGATAATAATGTTTGGCCTAGATACCCATCCTCAACCGATAGCAGAGGGAATGTATTTCAGCCCGTGTGTGTGGGTATGTGTGTGTGTATTTCAGTGACTAATGTAAAGCATAATTTGAACACACCACAGTGACGGAGCTGAAGTAAAAAATGCATGAAATGATCCTGTGGAGCAGAAAGAGTCTTGCATGAGTTACACGACAGTAAGTGTGAGGAGGATGAGACGAGCTGGAAGGAGAGGGAAAGCGATGGGGAGTGGGAGTGGAGACACAGCCACAGAGAACCAATAACAACCGATTACCTTACACACACAAACACACTCAAAACACACACACAGAGGCTTCCTACCATGCTCATCAGTGTCCTTCTCGGGGAGAGGAAGATGTTAGCCGTATAAGTCTTATTGAGTGTTTGTGTGCTTTGATGTGTCCTGGTTATCTTTAACTGTGTTGTTGCGATACACTTAATGTTTGATTCATGCTGCTGCTGTAACAGTTATGATAGCTTCAAGGAGTCTTGTCTGCTGTGGGCGTCGATTGGGTATAGCACTGTGTTTCCCTCCTCTGAGTGAAGATCTAATCTTAGTTTATAGACACACTTGTTGTGAATCCGTGGGTCTGAGAATCCTACACATTGGGTCAGAGCAAAAGTCCTGCACAGTTTGTTGAAGACATTCTGCAATCATGATGATTAAGGTGATCTCCTGACTTTATTTCTAAAGCCTAACAGTGATAACAATTTCCACTTGTTCACTATGGATTAGACGTCTCTATTTATTCTAAAGGAATACTGTTGTGCAATAGTTGAATTACAAAGTAGAGCTGTCACCACCAATTACTTTCATTATCTCATCATCTCCTTGTTATTTTAGTGATAAATAAGTTACAGATTTTGGTATTTAACATGTTATAAAATTGTTAAAAACAAAGCAAAACCCTTTTCATTCTCATTTAACCTTTTAGTGACCCCTTGCGCCCTGTAAGAGAAAACGTATGGTTCTCCGAACGGTTATATAGGATAGTTATTCGTGACATTTCTGCACTGTAAACTAATGACCACATTCCCCTCAGCCTTGGGTTTATTACCCATTTATGCCCAGAGACTATATTTAGTATGTTAAGGAAATATTGAAAAAGGGTATTGTCTTGAAATCTGATTCATAAATCTGATTATGAAAATATCTATGAGTTCAATCTAAAATGTAAAAACAAGTCGAAATAACACCTTTACTCTGCTTATGTGTGCATATTTTTGATATTCAACTTGTTATGAGTTCATAGATAAACCCTCGATTGTACGCCTTGTCGTTTTTGAGATACAGACATTTTCTTTTCATACTTTAAGTATTTGGCCACATGGGACTAGTTTTTTCCATATATAATTTAACATATATATGAAAACAGCAGTCCCATGTGGACAACCAAAAGGTTTGACTGATTTTGAAAATGTTTGACATACCAAAGTGAGCATGCTAACAACTTAATGCTTAGCATGTTACACTTACATGCTTAATATTAGCAAGTTATCATGCTAACATGCCAACATTTACAACAGCAGGCTGATAAGCTCACATTATTAATACAACTTCCTGCTATACAAGCTTGGATACCATATTACTATGATAATAACACATGACATGTGACATGTCAGCTTAAAGATTTGCATTACTACAGTCACGGCTGATTGAGCCTAAGAATAGAAAAGTTGTCCTTCTATTTTTAATACATCCATGTTTTCTAGCGTGTATAGAGCATTATTGCCCCTCAGAGCTGCTGCTGCGGGACTCTTGTTTTCTGTCTAATGGAGTGTAAACCTCAAACAAACACCCCCAGAAAATTATTTGGAGGCCATATGTGAAAATTAAAAAATTAGCAGGAGAGCGTTTAAGACAAGTGCTCCCTGTAAGCTGTTTGCTTAGACCTGCTGCACACTGAGATCTAATATTAGTTCCCAAAGTGGGATCCTGGGACTGCCAGGGAGCCTCTGGGAATTGGATGTAGCCCCCGGAAAAAGGAGCTGTAGTTGAGTTTCATTTCTATTTAAAGACGTTGAATATGCCTATTCTGCCTTTTTCACTCAGTATCACAAACTGTATACTACTTTAGTCCGTTAACTGATGAGACTTCATAACAAACATAGCAAACATAACAAAATAGAAGTTGGATCCTGCTTATATAGGCTGTCCATATACAAAATATTATTTGCTTGGAGGAAATTATTTCAGGGCTAACAGGGATCATTGGGATATATATTTTTTAAATCCTCTGGAGCAGAGAGAGGAGCTGTGGATTATTGTTATTGATTAATGCATCAGTGTTTGGTCAAAAACACTAAACTCACAACTTAAAATGAAAGCGTTTAGTTTATTTAATAAAAGAGCACATGTTCAATGTGAAAAGTGACTGTAGATATAGATTAGTTGCAATTTGGTGCTATTTATATATATAAAAAAAAGAAATAAAAAAAAAGAATTATAATATTTTTTTAAATTTTTTTAAACACCTTGAATTTCAGGGGGGGCGCGGGGCTCCGTTGGCGAAACACTGTAGGCTAAGTATGTCCTGAAAAGAAGGGGGATTTTGGTGTTTTTAAAGAGGCCCAATATGATTTTTGGGGTTTTTCCTTTCCTGTAGTGTCTTGTATACTGTAGGTTTGTGTGCATGTAAATGGTCTGGAAAGGCTCAAATTCCAAAGTCCTCTGATATTTTGCTCATTTTGCTCAACCTTTGCAATTTTACTTCTCAAAAATCTCAACACATTAACTTTGTAATGGAGTAATTTTACCTTTTAGAAGAAGATGAACCTTTATTAATGCCCCTAGGGGACAATTCAGTTTTTCACTCTGGCTTGCATTTTTTTGTTTTTGTTTAATATACACACGCAGTATACAGGTAGGTGCACACATGCACATGCAATACACATACAGTTACACACTATACAGAATACACATGCACATGCATCTGGAGAGGGCCAGTGTGAAGAGGCTGCCAGTCTCGCCGGCGCCTGGGAGCAGTTGGGGGTTTGGTGCCTTGCTCAAGGGCACCTCGGCAGGACCCAGGAGTGTTGCTACTTTACTTACATAAAGGCTCTGGAGTCAAACATTTTTCTCTAAAACCTGAAATAGCTAAATATGATATAAGTTGTTGGAGCTCTGCCACACCTTTGAATTCAGTGAATGGAGTTCCCTGCTGAGGGTGACTGGAAGCATCATTCTTTTATGTCAGCAGCACCCTAGGATTCGCCCCCCCAAACCCACACACAGTGTCCGGGCTCGCTGGCTGGTGAGATAGAGACAGGGGGATATTGGGATGGGGGTGCACTGTGAGGCGGAGGAGAGGGAACAGTCACATGCTTTGACTTGCTCTGTCAGTGTCAAGTTATCCGGTATTAAGAATAGATAACACCAGCCAAATCTTTCAAAATAAAATACATATTAGAAAAGACAAATTGCTTCTACGGGAACAAAAGATTACTTTGCTAATGCTTTTTTTTTTAGAGCCAACCATTCTTGTGTTTTTTGTTTAATGTTTATTAATGTTCTTATCATTTACAAGTTACCATGTTTACTACCACCAAATGACAAGCTAAAACCCCAAAGAATGCCATACTAGCCTACTTAACAGCGTAACATTATTTGTTTTCTTACAGACTTTAGGCTTTGCATGTGCCAAAGTTGTATTGCAATCCGGCACACGTGCCTAAAAAGTAAACTAAAGTATTTTATTCTACCGATATTATACGAATGTCACGTTCAATACTGTATTACACCGTATAGTGTGGCTTCCGGGACTACCCTGTCTTATTTTGAAGGTAAGAGACGAGTATCTCCGCACCGCCTCTCCCCGGCTGGCTTGACGCGGCTCTGCCTCTCCCGGTGCGCCTGAACTCCGGTACCTGAACACCGCAGAGCGCGTCCGGCGGCTGAGGGGACGCAGACGCACGGGGAGTCGCTTTGTTATATTTAACTTTACTTTTCCCGGTTATTAAAACTTCTGCGCCACATTCCTCTCTATTTTTCCTCGTTTTGATCCCCCTGACTGACGGACTGAGTTAGGATATCGGCAGGGGGGAGAGGAGGCAGAGGACCAGCGGGCTGCTCTCAGATGGAGCACCAGGGCTCCGGGAGCTCAGGGCGCACGGCGGACCCGGAGTGAATGACACCGGTGGATGGACGCTGCTCCCCGGTAAGGAATGCAGACAAAGTTTTGGGATTTTTTGCTATAATATACTTTTTACATTTGCTCTCCTGTCCCATGCACTGCGCTTGGTGAGTGTCCGTGGCACAAAAGAAAATGTCCAGAACCTATGATGACGCTTTCTCTGTCAATGGCGGTGTCTTCCTCAAAAAAAGGAAGAAATTAAAATAATATTTCCATAGGCAGTTATAAAGTGTGGTACTCTGAGTGACCTTAGAGTACTTCATTGTAGGCCTATATATTTACATCATACATTATCACTTCAAGGATAAGACTCATTTTGAGATGTTTGGATTTATATTATTCTGCAATTAATCATAGGATTAATAACACTGGTTCTCTTTTGAGCTTTCTAAACCAGATTGATGTTTGGAAATGCTGTATCCTCATAGACGACGTTGATATGCCATTTGTTGGCCTTCAGAAGGATGATGAATATACATTTATAACACTTAGAGTTAAAGGAAAATGTTGCAATTTCTGGATATTAGTTTTTTCTTCTGCTTTTATTGTGCTTGCCACCGTAGTCCATTCATGTTTAAGATTGGAGGCAATTTATGAATTTGTGATGAGGGTTAACAACTTAATGGGTTTCAGAGGTCTTATAAATATATATATGTTCTTCAGGTTACTGATATTTGGTAGGATGATGTAATTTCCACATGCATGGCCTGGTTGTCAGCAAGGGAGTCTCATAATGAGTTTTTTAAGTGTTTTGAAAGGATTCATCAGCAGGTTTTGCAGAAGAATGCCTTTCTTTTTTTCAATGACTGATTGATGTCCGCCCATCAGCTACTATTGAATCACAACAAAAAGCCTAAACTGTTCGGCCCTGGACTCCTCACACAATCCAGGCTGTGTGCCCATATTGGAAATACAAAAGAAAGAAAGATGCTGGCTGATTCAATCTCATTATTTTCATCAAATGCACACACACACACAAACACTCCTCTCCACGCTGTGAACTTGTGTGCCAGCTCTCCTCTTGTCCTGTCACACTGTAGGCAATGTATTATTATATATATGTATATGCATGCAAAGACACATGATTTGCCAACACAATTATCCTCATCCTTCTTTATGATTGTTTTCCAAATAATCAGTTTCTTCCTAAGAAATTGGTATCTTTGGAATACATTTATTAGAATCTCTGGGGATCAATAACCAATGTGATGAGCACACGGTGGACCAGAGGGAAGAGTGTTTGCTGTGCACTCGAGACAATGTGGACTGTGTCACATGCTCCAACTCCCTTCCTGCCAAACTCCACTGCATACTGCCCTTTACAGCAGTACATGTGAAGAAATTAAAGTAAAAACAAATGAAAAGCCAATAAGTGAATCTGCTCTTGTGATCACGTTGTTAATTAAAACTGAGATTATCATACAATTTGACATTTCCTACATGATGTCCATGCTGCGAGAAATTCCAGTCAGAGCTTATAAAAATAAACCACAGTCTGATGTAACTCGACAATGTCGTGAGGTTTTCTGTTAAATTAGAGCTTAAGGAAAAATTATATTTCCAAGAGCTATAAGTTACATTAATCACCATGAGTGGGAATTGATTGCAAATGAAAAAACGCTTTAATCTGTTTATTGCAATATGGAATAGCAGTCTAAGCTACTCTCTCTCTCTCTCTCTCTCTCTGAATGTCCAGATTGCTTAAAGCCTGTATGGATTAAAAGCATCAGCAGTAATGGTCAGTTGTCATGAATTGTACAACTGTAGGATTATAATGAAGTGGACTAAGTGCATCCTGTTGTTTGCACTGATTGTGCTTTCACCTTTAGCTAGATTTATGTTTCCTGTACAGGTTTGCTTGCTGGCTGTGAGTCTTCTCCTGAAGGTCGCCTATTGTTTCAGAGAAAACACAGAGAAGGATCTTTTTTTTGTTATGCTGCTGCTTCGCTAGAGGGTAAAGGGTCTCGTGGACAGGATGGCAGGCTTGACAGTGAGCGCAGTTCGGGTTTATTTTGAGTAGCTGCATTGCCAGCCACAAGGCAAAAACAGCAAACACACACACACACACACAGTCACACGGTAACACACACACATGATGCATCAATTATGTTGTCGTGTCCTGAGCAGTTTGCCGTTGCCCCTGTGCCCTCTTTCAGGTTCAGGCTGTTCACAGCACGGCCATGACGGGCACCCATGACCCAGACCTGCATGAGCAGCACAGAGGACCAACGCAGGAGGAGGGGGATGAGGAGGAGGAGGAGGGGGAGAAGGTGCATGTGTCAGTTGAGGGAGATGAGAGGGAGCAGGAAGAAGAGGAAGAGGAGGAGGAGGAGGAGGAAAAAGAGGAGCTGCCGTACCCCACTCTAGCACCAGTGGTTCTTTTGGCTCTGACCCAAACCAGCCCACCCCGCTCCTGGTGCCTCCGAGCTGTCTGCCACCCATATCCTTCACCTAAAGCACTGCAAACATGTGTGTGTGTGTCAGTGTGAGACTCTGTTTATAACGTGAGAGAGACATTGTCTGTTTGTGTTTCGGCTCTGTCCTTTCTCAAAGCCGTTGTACCTACAAGGCCCCAGCGCTGAGATGTTTACTTTACTTTTAAACACAGGAGAGACAGGAAGAAGGTCTGAATTGTGCAGCTCTGTGAGTGTGTGTATATGTATGCGTGCGTGTGTGTGCGTGTGTGTGTGTGTGTGTGTGTGTGTGTGTGTGTGTGTGTGTGTGTGTGTGTGTGTGTGTGTGTGTGTGTGTGTGTGTGTGTGTGTGTGTGTGTGTGTGTGTGTGTGTGTGTGTGTGTGTGTGTGATGGAAGACCTCAGTTATTTCCTTGGACCCATTAGCTGTAGGAAAATATGGGTAACATTTGTCCCTGATTGGAGGTTTCCATAGTAACAAGCCCTAATGAATCTCCAGGGTTACAGTCGCCTGTCAGTAGCATTGTTACCGGCCTCCGTTAATACAGCAGAAAGAGTCACAACAGAGTAAGAACTCGCATCACCTCCCAAACCTTGCTCTGCTTCTGTCTTCATCATCTCGCCTCCCATTCCCCTCCCTGTCTCTCACTCTCCGTCTCAGCCTCTATCCACATCTGCTGATGACGTGAAGGTGTGAGTGTGTGTAAGTCTGTTATCAGCGCTGGATTGCTGTGTGTGTGAGTAGCTATGAATACTCCGAAGCATGCATAAACGTCAGCAACACCTCAGGGATTTGTCAAGCCTCTCCAAATTGAACATTTTCCACTGCTTATGACTGGGTGTGTGAGTGTGTGTGTGTTCCTCTGCATGCGTGTGTCGCTGTGCGCTTGTCTAGTATGCATGTCCGTATTTGCCAACGTCAGCACTCTGTGTACTCTATAAAATATGAATTCATAATTGCTGAATAAATAAAATGTACACCAAGAGGAAAAGAGTAAGAAAAAAAACTACAAATGCCATAAACAAAACTCCTCTGTACCCTGCTGGGTTGTTACCATGGTACACTAACTGTGTCAGCACAACTTAGTGGACACTCACACACTCACACACACACACACACACACACACACACACACACACACACCACACACACACACACACACACACACACACACACACACACACACACACACACACACACACAGGCGTGTGAATGCCCTCACACAAACGAGGGAATCTCCCATGGAGAGGCTCTTTAGAGGAATCACCTGGTTGCTTGGCAACAGCGTAGCTCTGCCCCGACGGCACGGTTACTTCTGATTGCAGCGTTTGTTTGTTTTTGTGTGTTTGCGTGTCTGTCAATCAGTCCATGTCCATACAGCATGGCTACTGGCGTGTGTCCAATTTCCTGTTTATCGTATATGTTTCTATACTTGTGTGTGGTGTGTGTTTGTGTGTTTGTGTGTAACTGAGTGATCTGCGGGGGAAGTAATGTGGGTGGACGTTGTTCGACAGGGACATTAATGTGAGCGCACTGGGAGGGGGGCAGTCCCCAGCTGTAAGTCCCATTTTTCCTGAGGTGACCCCTCCTTCCTCTCTGCCTTTTTTCTTTGCACTCAGTACAAATTACAAATTCATTTCCCTTCTCGTGTCCTTCCATTTCCTCCCTTTTTGAAAACAGAGCCATCCTCCTTTGTGCCATGTTTACAAAATACTGTACATCTCTCCACCCTATAGCACATCTATCTAACACATTTATTTGGAACAAAAACAACAAAATTGGATTTTGCTATTATATAACATTCTCTTGTACTCTTTCAAAGCTACATTGATTTGTGTAATTTCCTGTTTCTTCGGGAGGAGAATCACTCAGAGAGTGGAACAAGGTGCCCACTTTGTGAAGTGCTAAGCTCTCCCATGTAACATATGACACACATGGAAGCACACACACACGTGGGGATGTGCGTGGGCAAGTCGACACACACACATACGAAAACACACACTCACGCACTCACACACACAGGACATAACTTATTCAGCAGTGCATGAAACATTCAGAGCGTTTCCTTTTGTTTAAAGATGAGAAAAGCTGTATCTGTCACTCCTATACAAGTACCTCTCTCCACCTGCCTTTCTTCTTCTGCACTCCATCTGGTTTCTTCTTTCTCTCATCCCTCTTTACTCACTATCAATCCCCTGCCCTCCTATTTATCTCCCTCTTTTCCTTTTCCTAAACTGACTCTTAATTGGGTTGAGGTGTGTGTGTGTGTGTGTGTGTGTGTTTGTGCGTGCGTGTGTGAAGGGGGGGGGGTTGATAGGGAGAAAACGATGGATAGGAGGAGGTCCTACTCAAAGTAGGGTGAGCTGTCAGAGGCATTTCAGCCAATTAGCATGATTCGTGCAAGTGTTTCCATGGTTACTAGCTGTCACATTGTAAGGGGGTGGAGTCAGAGGACTTGACAACCTGACAGTAACTTGACTTGGACCACCTTCACACACACACACGCACACGCACACGCACACGCGCACACACACACACACACACACACACACACACACACACACACACACACACATACACACACACACACACACACACACACGACAGACTTTGAGTCTAACTGGGTTACGTTTAATCAAGTCTGTGTGTGTCGATATCAGAGTGCAAGCGGGGGTCTAAGCAGCGGGCGCATGGGGGAAGTCGTGAGCAGGTTGCTCATTCATACAGAGTCGCTCACATGTGAGGATTTCCATCCAAACCACACGCTTTTAAGTTCAATACCACTTCATAGTTTGGTCAGACTTTAAAGGGTTGTAACTTTATTAAATCATTTAGATTACAAAATAATGTGCCTGGAGTGGAGCCTCCTCACCCAGTTTGAATGCATTTGTCTTCTAAGGCAGCTTTCTAAGGAATACTTAACCTAGAAAATGTGTGCATACATTTCTCGCCCTGTGTTACCATGAATTGTCTAAGAAAACGTTGCTTTTCTCCAATGGGTCCCTTCTGAACAACAATTCCCATTATGAACTTTGTTGTGGTGCGAGAGAAAAAAGTCAGAGGATAACCAAAGTCATTATGATTCATCGTCTGGGTATAATGAATAGATTGTACGGTAATCTATTCAATAGTCTCTGGAATATATCAGTACGAGCTGACTTTCTTACTCTAAGATAGTGTATTTTAGTTAGTCATGCAACGTCTTTGAGTTAGGAAGTCAATAAGGAGCCACAGGTGTCTTTGTTTGTAATAATCCATCTGTTGTGCAATGATAAATGTAAGTAAATCATTCACATTTGACAACAATCCATTAGGGTTTGCAGTGAGTAAATGTGAGTAAGCCTTTAATAAATAGGTTTTGGTCCTCATTCTCTGCAGAGCCATTCAAAAATGGCGACTGGAGAGGTTTTAATAATAAATTCAAGGACTAGGGGTAAAAAGACAAATAAAAAGGAGCCATGCTGAAGTTATTCTTAATGGTTTGAACTTGATACATAGAGCTATAAAGATGACAACGTCTATTGTTTAATAAAGTGTGCCTTGTGAGGCAGTGGTACGACATTGTAAAACCTCCTCAAGCTGAAAAACATGGCCGTATATTGTGCGTGTATCCAGATGGCCTGTGTGTCCCTATGGATGATCCTTTTAAGATAATGAACATTGCAGATGAAAATGTTCCCTCACGCTGGCCTTAGCATGTATACCCAGCCAAGGGTGGAGGATGATGCCAGAAAGATCAGGGTGATGTTATCTGATTTGATTTATAATGTCTGCCTGACCTTTATTACCTGTGTTGGCACTCGAGGGGAGTACAAGAGGGGGAGAGCGCGAGAGACAGGGAGGAGGTGGTATATCTTGGCGAGGGAGGAAGAACAAGAAGATGAGACAATTAAGGAGACAGGATAAAGCATCGAGGCCATGTAACATTTTCAATTGTTTACACTTTAAGCTCTAATGGTCAGAGTCTTAACCTCTTTCAGTGCACTGAGCCTTTTTTTTACTCAGGCATGAAGCCATTTTTCTTCGTCTCACCTCTAATTTCCCTTGTTTCTTGCCCTCTCTTTCTCTCCCCTCTACTTCTCCCTTACTGTATCTACATATCTATTTCTCACCCTGTCCGTTCTCATGCCTCTCCATCTCTCTGACGATGTTAATTATTAAGTGTAGTTGTAGTTTATCTGTTGGCTGAGACTCAGGTTTCTAACAGAGAGACTATAAGCTCTTCCCATGGGCAGGCATATGTGAAGATATGTAGGGGCTGGCGGTTCGTAGAGAAAAGGAAGTGTATGTGCACGGGAGGCAAAAATAAATGCAAGAAATAATACGGAACGAAGATGGGAAATTATACCACAGTATATGAAGGAAGAGGCATAGACAGAGGGCAGAAGGAGCAGAGCAAAGAGAAAAATAATTGGGCCAAAGAGAGGGGGAAAGGGCTGTGGAGAAAAATGAGAAATGATGGAGGGAAAGGTTGAGTGTGAGAGTAGATAAAGGAAGAGCAATGAAGAGACTGACACAGAGGGACAGCGGAGAGGACATTCCCTCCGCGTTTCATCACTGATGTTGAATGATGGGCCAACTGTGGAAAAACTCCCCTCGCATCCATCACTTACACCTTGACCCTGCCCTGCGCCTTGTTTTCACTCTGTGTGTGTGTGTGTGTGTGTGTGAGAGCGTGTGTTTTATGGACACTCAGGGTAACTTATAAAGATGGAACAGGATTCAAACGAGCCTCCTCAGCAGTGAGGAAAGGATGGAGCTGCGCTAAAGGACATCATTTTCGTTTTTGCGTGCGTGCGTGTGTGTTTTGAGAGCGTATTAATTATGTTGTGTTCCAGTCCAGACAGGATGCAAGCGGATTGTGAAACTCAGAAGTCAGTTCCCACGGTGAGATGGGGGTTCCCATGGCAACGAGAGCGAAGGGAGGACACTGGATTACCCTCTCTCTCTCCCTTTCTCCCCCCCCTCTCTCTCTCTATGTCTCAAGGGTGATAAAGGATTGTACTCTCATTAATTTTTTCGCCCTCTCGAGAGCAAAGTGTCCGGGGAAGGGACTCTATGTGTGAGCGCGTGTGTTTCCTATGTGTATGCGTCCATGTGCATGCTTCCAGGCTTTATTATGAACGCGTCCTTGGCTCTTAAATACGTTCCTGTCATCCATTCAGCAGTTTTTATGAAGGCATGAAGGCAACACAATCAGTCCTTCAACTTTCCACTTTAGACTATTTTCCTCTTTAAACCCCTCTGCTTACCACTTTTGAGCCGTGCTCCTACTGGAGTGTTTGACAGCAAGATGCACAAACACCCGCCATATATGCAAGTTTACACTTAATCTGACGTCAAATGTGTTTCCTGGTAGCTCTCTTTCTTTTGTAGTTGTGAATATTAAACATGTCAACATGTCATGTCAGCGTCTGTAAATTCAAGTTGATACATTTTAGCTTATTTTAGCAATCTCCCACCCTTCAAAAAGTGCTTTTTGAGGTTACCCCTTTCAGTTCTGTGCTTGCACATTTGATTTTGCAAGCTGTTAAGTGCAAAGTTGTGCACATAACAGTTGTGCTTGAATATATTTTGTAACATCAGTCTTGCATCTTTTTGTTTGCAAGAGCGACATGGCTCGAGTTTAATGTGTACCAGTTTTTTTCTACAGACCATTGACTAGATGGTCTGTCAAAGCAAAGGAAACACCTGAATAAATGAACGGAGAAACATAATGGATGCAGATGATTCCACATAGAGCACAAAGGGTCACTGCGTGGCTTGATGAGAATGAAAATGATGTGAATAATATTCTATGGTCTTATCAGTCGCCAGATCTCAAAGGGGGAATTCAGAGTGACACGTTTTACAATTTATATATACAGTCCATGGTTATGCAGTGCTTATCAATATCTTGGATGGATGATATTTATCACTCAGGTAGAGTTTAGAGTGTTGTAAAACCTAGCACTGATGCTGTTCTGGCAGTTTGCGTTGGTACAAAAACTTGCTTCAACCCTTCATGTTATTTTCCTTTACGTTTTTGCCCATCTTTAATTCCATTAATCGAATCTCAACCCTCTTTAAACTAAAACATTGACCCAGCAGCTAATACCTAAAGAATATTGCAGGAATGAGTCTTAAACTAGGATATCAGTTCCATCCCTCGTGTTGCCTGAATTACTGTCTCCGCTTAACACTAGCTTAAGTGTTTGTCCCCTTTTAGTTCATATGACATAAAATGAAATACCCCATTTGTGAATGTTAAAGGTTATATGTGTCTCTAAAAAGGCGGTTGCTAATAAGTGTAAAAAAACTAAAGACTGGAGATTTCAGAAGTTGTCTGGGACATTTTACGCCCTCATGCCATCCTCAAAAACGAATCTACTTATTTGTGGTGACGTTAAAGTTATGCAACCATGGTGTAGTTTGTTTATAGCTACATGTTAGCTTTCTACTTCTTTTGATTGCATTAACACTTCAGAAGTCTGGGTGGTGTTGTTTCAGTTCATTTTCTGCTTCGATAATAGTACATTTGATCCAATGGAAACATCCTGTTGGCTTTCTGTTGAGGGTAACTAATTGTAATCAATGTTCAAACTCTGCTGTGGTGTTTACACTTAACCTCATGTCACATGGTTCGAGCGTGTGAGCATTTTGGCCATCCTCCTGAACTGCGTGACACTCGGGATGTTCCAGCCCTGTGACCGCACACCCTTCCTGCTGCAGGTAAAACACACACACACACACACACACACACACACACACACACACACACACACACACACACACACACACACACACACACACACACACACACACACACACACACGCACACACACGCACGCACACACACACACACACACACACACACTGAAATTACAAACTAATTATGTTCAGCTCTGAGACTTCATTATCAGGGGTCTGGAAAGTTTTTGCTTTAATTTTTTTCTCCCTCTTAATCAGTTTACACTAATCCTCTGTGTGTGGTGTTGTGTGTGTGTGTGTGTGTGTGGTTGTGTGTTTGTGTGTGTGTGGTTGTGTGTGTGTGTGTGTGTGTGTGTGTGCGTTTGCAGGCTCTGGATGATGGCATCTTTGTGTTTTTTGCCGGGGAGATGGTGATGAAGATGGTGGCTCTGGGGATCATAGGTCAGAGCGGCTACCTCAGCGACACGTGGAACCGATTGGACTTCTTCATTGTTGTGGTGGGGTGAGTTGTTGGACAGACGCACACAACCACGTGCACACCTACACACGCGCATTTGACATTAAATATGAGCCAAAATCGTGTGTGTATGTGTGTGTTTTGTGTAAAGCTTAGACACTTGTTTAATGCCAGTTAAATGTCAAGCGTGTGTGTGCGCGTGCTTAGAGGAACCGGTGGAAGTTTATGTCTGTGCGCGACAGCTTTGCAGAATGACAATGGCATCATTGGGTCCTGAGAGACAGAGACCTCGGTGATTGGTAGTTAAAAGGCTATGTATCCCAGATACCGTGCACTGCTGGATTCCCTGTAGACGTCAGAGTTGGCCAAGGTCAGGCTGATCACGATGCCATTGACACAGCGGTGGCTTTCCCTCTACGCAGAATGCTGGAGTACTCGCTTGATGGACACAACGTCAGCCTGTCAGCCATTAGGACCGTCCGGGTGCTCCGCCCACTACGAGCCATCAACAGAGTTCCCAGTGAGTTTGTCTCCTTATTCCTCCAACACACACTGCACTCAAAGCAGGGCTGGGCAATATATTCATTTTAAAGCCATGTTGTGATGTTAAACTTGTAATCGCTAATATGGTATAAGTGATGTCTTTCCCGGGTCAAATGCCGAAATACAGTAAAGTGATGTTTTGTGAAGTAGTCAGACTGTTCTAGCTGTTCAAGTTCATTTACTCAAGTACTGTACTTAAAGGTAGGGTAGGTAAGTTGGAGAAACCAGCTCGAGATCGCTAGAATTTGAAAATACACAACCGGAGAAAATCTGCCACTTCCTTACAGAGCCCCTCCTCCAACACACACGAACGCGCACATGACCAATGAGGGCACGAGATAAGTTTGTGCACAGATGGAAGGCTGACAGGCAGGTAGGCCATCCAGTTATTTTAGCCGGGCCGGCTGGCACGGGAAGGTCGTGCTTTTTACAGCACTACGGCTTCCACAGATGACATTTTTTTATGGATTTTTTTCTTTTCTTAAGATATTCATTGCTATCGGGATGTTAAGAGCATTCCATGGAATATAACAAAAAGTGTATCTCGAGCCGGTTTCTCAAACTTAGCTACCCTACCTTTAAGTAAAATGTAGAGGTACTTTACTTGAGTATTTCTATTTCATTACTTTATACTTTTAAAAATGTTGTTTCTCCACTGCATTCATCTGACAGCTTAAGTTACTTTGCAGGATCATATAATTAATAAATCAACTAAAGGATTATGATATAATAAATCATAATAATAATTCCCCAATGATAATCCAAAAATATAACATAATTATAAGGAAAACAGTCATTTTAGTTTTGCTATTTAAAGTATATTTAGATGTTTATATTCTCTATATCACCCAGCCCTACTCAAAATGTAAAAGGTTTTTATTGTCTTTCGTTGTTTTGGCTCTGTACATTGGATTTTAAATGAAACACTAACTGTGAGGTTAAAAGTGCTGACAAGGCCTTTTACACATCCGACCAGTACAGTTGGAGCAGAACAGTATAAGACTCCTCTGACTTTAGGACAATGCAGCAGGTCGAAGACTGTTAAGACAGAAGAGAGATGGAAAATAAGGAGATTTTTATGGTCAAACCGTGCAACAGTTCTTGACTCAAGACAAGACACTGACCTGACTGCAATCTATAATCAGTGGACAGCAACATAAACGTCACCTGCTTTGTCTCGGTTGTGGTGCAGGGAATCAATTCTCCTAAGATCCAATTCCAAAGAAAAAAGTCAATTCCCACACACATTAGTCTTCGCTGCATTGATTTATTTAAAAAGTGTCAACATTTTGACACACAGGGGCCTTTCTCAAGACATATCAACAATCATTAAGTAACACATGGATTAAATACAGCCCATAATTGCATGGTAGTACAAAGGGCTCAGATCAAATTACCGACTGCATTCCAAATCATTATCTGGTGTGCTTGCTTCAGACTAGAATGAGGGCGAAAAGCCTCCGTAACAGGCAAGAAGTGAAGATGTCTGCAGTTCAGGCCTGGCAGAACATCAGCAGGACAGATTCCAAGTGTCTGGACGACTGACATCTGTGGGTCATAGCCTGCAGAAAGCCACTGACTTAATATTAAATATGATGACTGTGAAAGAAAGACTGCTTTCACTTTCAATCCATCAACTCTCTGTCCCCTATATCTGTTGGGCCAAGTATAAAAAGGGACGCAATGTTTGACATGGAAACACACTTACCTGAAAGTCAGCAATCACATACAAAGCCAAGACAATGAAAGATGTGTTACTGTCCTTGAACTCTTCTAATTTGATTGCCATTAACAGCTCCAGCTTTCCTCTTGATGAATGCATGTTTAAACAAATAAGGACACAGTGAACAAAGTCAAGGGAATCATTGAGATTCTCAGGTTGTTCTTATCAGCTTCACACAACTGGCCATCACATGTTTTCAAACTCATTGACCTTGGCCAAACTCAGGCTGAGTGTGTTTCAGGTAGCCAAGTCTAGAAGCAGTGAATAGGAAGCATTTTGTATCTGTGCACTTTAGCAGAGTGGAGTATTATTGTTTGGACGGTAACTATTTACCATTCAATACATTACTGCTCCAGTTTGTGCAACATACATTAAAGTGTCTCCTGTCTAGAGTGACCTTTATTTTGCTATAAAGTCGCAGATGCTATTACGTTCCACGGATGTATAAAGAGAACTGGATGCAGGATCAGCGTGAGGCTTTAAAGCCACTTTTTTGTAGTGACCAAACTGTGGCATTGCAACTTCTGTGTCAATTAAGGTAATGCCATTTGGTCATAAAAGTTGTCAAATGCACTAATAGTTTCTGCTCTATGGGCTCATGGAGAAGGAAGATATGAATAATGTTATACTCAGAAGTTGAACTTTGCACACGAATAAACTTGCCTCCACTTCCAATGCTGTTTCCAGCTCTCTTTATACATCCATGGTGTGTCACAGTTGCCTATGGTGTTTGTGCTGCATGTGTGTGTGTTGGCAGGCATGCGTATCCTGGTGACCCTCCTCCTCGACACACTTCCCATGCTGGGCAACGTGCTGGCACTGTGCTTCTTCGTCTTCTTCATCTTTGGCATCGTCGGCGTGCAGCTGTGGGCGGGGCTACTGAGGAACCGCTGTTTCATGGGAGAGGATGTCAAAATGTGAGTAACCATAGTAACCAGCAGATGTCACGTCAAGGGATGCATTGGCCTCATTAGTTTGAAACCTCTTTGAAAAGTTTGCTCACAACTGATTAGCTTCTTTCCCTCAGCTGTTATTTCTAAGAGAGGATCAATAACACTGATAGTCTGATCTAGTTGTTCTCTAATCAGCGCCGTCTGAGAGTAAGTAAATGTGTTTCCTGCAGTAACCTCCAGCATTAGGGATCACAAATCAAGGGATTAGGAGGGCTAAGTGAATTTCTATGTTCCGGTATTCAGGGACTCTCAGTGACTGACTCAACGTGATCCCTCAGAGTTTCACTGTCACTCCAGCTCTCTCATACATGATCGTTCACGTCATGCTCGATATCTGTCTAACCGACGCAGGAACACAATCGCTCTCAGCCTCGCTCCCACTCACATGTACGAAAGAATGATCAGATAATATCACATAACATCAGATAACATCATGTTCAGCACCTGACCTCACATCTGCTCAACCTTCCCACTCAGATAATAATCCCTGACCGTGGAGTTCATCGGAACAGCCTGTACTGTTGTACCGTTAGATTTACTCAGATACAATGTTGTTTAATAATTATTGTGCAGTTACTGTTACTTAACTAAAATATATGATGACACTTTATTTTAATAGCAGAACACTCAATGTGATTTGGAAAAGAAAAAACTACATTAAAACCAGAAAAGTTCACTCAGTGGAATGCAATCAAAAACACTAAATTATTTTAATAACATATTCAAATGAAGTAAAAAAAAATATATTTAAAAGTGTGAATCCCCAAAACAATTAAAGGTCCTTGAGCACACGCAACACATTTTAAAGTTGACTTTAATTAAATATATTATGTCAACAGGTTACAAATAATTATATTAGGTTAATTGAAAGCAATAATAGTAAATTTAAATACTAAATATTAGGTTCCATATATTATATAATATTATTATACTATTCCCTTTTAACTAATCTAATACAATTATGTGTAATTTGTTATAAAAAAAACATTTAATTGAAGTCAACGTTTATTTTTTCAATGCAAACAATCATGAATTTAATTAAATATGAAAAAAGTGAATACAATACAACAAAAAATATTAAAAATACAATAAAATATAGTAAATATAATTATTATAACAGTGAACCAGGCTACAACCAAAAGGGAATAGGATTATGTGTGCTGCACTAGGCCTGTTCTTTTCTGACTTCTCTGCAATTAGAAGACTTCTAAGTGTCAACCTCTATGAAAATGTATCGACCAAGTGCTAGAATTGTATTTACGCATCGACTGCAACGAGGCAGATGGCCTTTGCGGTTTGAGATGGGGAGGAGGGGCCAACTATAAATGTTGTGTTTAATAACCGTCATTGACAAATCCTACTGATCACAGCCCTTAATAACTAACGGCTTTTAATAAAAGATTGTGATTCAAGAGTGAGTAGGCAGAAGGGTCTACTCAGTTCCTTGGCATATTGTTCCCTGTTGTCACATCCGAGAGCTGTAGACTCAAAATAGTTCCGTTTATTTTCACTAGAACGCAGTATTATGACAACAACAGAATCCTCAGCACTGCATTATTCTAATTTTATCACCAAGCCAGGACTCTGTGATTGTATTTCTAACGTAGAGCAGCTGTATCAGGAAAGACAATGTGACATTGTTATTGGCTCCTGCTTTAAACTCATGTTGTCACAATAGCCTCCTAAATAAGTAGCATATACATTTCCACCCGGAACAAATTGTTCTTTGGATTTTAGTTTCAGTTAGCATTTGAGACAATAAACAACAAAATAACCTTTTTGGATAAGAAGTGAGAGCCCTGCTCCTCTGTGACCCGTCTCTACACCACACATGATTGATTGCTTATCTCTCCACTGCACCCTGCCTCTCTCTTTTCTTTCTCCCCTTCATCTGTATTTCTCTTTCTGTTTCCTAATTTCCTCCCTAAACACTCTTGTGTATTACGCACTGTCTTTCTGTTTTTTCCCAGAAACCAGACCGTCTGTACAAACAATAGGTTGTTTAACGATTTATTTCCATAAAAATCGTTCAAACGTTACCTGAATTTGTCCAGATATGTATTTTTTGGTATTCTAAGCCCCTTTTGTGATTAGTTTTAAAACAAACAGAGCCATTCTATGTGTTTCCCATTGGACCAAAACCAACAATAAAATGGTTTGACTATAACAAGTTTTATTTGTGCAGCCAGATTCTAATACGGCTTGTTCTTCGGTGTCATTGTTGTAAAAAAAAACAATAGAAAATATATTATTGAGCACATGTTGACAAGTTCCTCCATTTAATGAACATGGGCACTTTAGTTTACATTGAGTCAATCTCACATACACATTCCTGCTGTTAGTAGCTCACCAAATGGCTATTAATCCGTGACTGAAAATAGTCCAACAATCCCTCCTGTCTGAAAAATGACAGTGAGCAGCTCCTAATGCAAAATTAAAACTGTTTTTTCTTTACTGTGACCCATTTTTGAAGATTTACATCTTCTTAGGGACGGGCTTGGGGCAAAGTGCCACAGACAGGAAGAAAAGTAGAAAAGTTCTGAGAAACTGTCTGTTTGTAGAATGGGGAAAACTACTTTAGATTTAAGCACATATATTATAAGTATATTATTGCCCCAGCTGTACCAAAGGTGACAGTATGTATTGGCTCTTGCTCTATGCTGTTCTGTTAACCTACCCTCCGTAATTAAGGTGTTTCTAATAAATTCATACGAAATGTTTTTCTCTTCTTCTCCAGGAGATATAACATCTCCTTCCTGAGTGGCTACTATAAGCAAGATGGCACTGATGACCACCCGTTCATCTGCTCAATGGACAGAGAGAACGGGATGCTTCGATGCTCGGATGTTCCTCGCCGCCGTGTGGGCAGGACTTACTGCCTCCTGAGTCCTGAGGAGGCCCGGACAGAGGAGGGACTCAGAGGAGACGATTCAGGGTCATGTGTGAACTGGTACCAGTATTACAACGAGTGTCTGACCGGCGAAGTAAACCCCCACAAAGGAGCTATTAACTTTGACAATATTGGATATGCATGGATTGCCATTTTTCAGGTAGGACTTATATAAAGGGATTGATCTTTTATCAATAATGATGATGCAAATGAGACATCTCACTGTGATTACTGTGTGCTTTCATACAGGTGATCACTCTGGAAGGTTGGGTGGACATCATGTACTATGTCATGGATGCACACTCTTTCTACAACTTCATCTACTTTATCTTCCTCATTATAGTAAGTGCACTCTCACACACACTCACACATCTAACATAGGTTTTACCTTTTCATGTTGTACATCATATTGAAGTGCTTTTTCTCATTTTCTCCCCTCATGTTTGGAAATGGGCTAGTCAAACATTTTAAACTTAGCGGAAACCACCAGGGTTGAAAATAGCAGCCTTTGAAGTAGTGCCAAAAACTGCTTTTAGAGCCACATGAAGCTGGATCCAGCAGATCAATCTCAACAGACCCCCATGTTAAAATGGCCCACTTCACAGCAGTAATACACGTTTACAGCCCAGTGAAAAAAATAGCAAATGTCTACTATTTTTATTGTTAATGTATAAAAGCATGCATAATTAAGAGCTAGGACTGAGGGATAGGTGGGTTCCTCAACATATTGGGCCGCTAGCTGACTCACATTGTACTTCACCCAGGCCCGCCTCAGCTACACCTCTTTGGACACTTTTGGATTAGTCTGGAGTACTATGGTGGCTTCACTGCCAGGCTTGAAAGGGCTGGAGCCTCACAATGACTCTTCAAAACCTTGTATAACGTTTTGTTAAAAAATACTTCTCAGCGTAATTCAGTCCAGTTCAAAACCTCTGCAGAGAACATCCTTCAAGAGGCCCTATTATGCTTTTTGGGGTGTTACCTTTCCCGAAGTGTGTTAACAGAGCCAGCTAACCAATCAGAGCAGACTGTGCTCTGATTTCAGACAGAGGGGGAAAAGAGGGGCTGCAGCACAGGTAGTATGAGAAACATAAAAGCACCTTTTTGAACATTAAAACATGTAATCATGTCACAGTAGAGGCTCTCAACTCTGAACATCATGATCTTTGCGATGCGTTTATGGCTAAGCTGTCGTATTGGATTGCATTAGATAAAGTTGAATACATTGGACACTGGACTGTATTTTTACAACAGTGTGTCATGTTTTTTTGTAATGACCAGGTGGGCTCCTTCTTCATGATCAATCTGTGCCTGGTCGTCATAGCAACCCAGTTTTCTGAAACAAAGCAGAGGGAACACGCCTTAATGAAATCGGAGCAGCGCGCCCGGCAGCTCCACCAATCGGCTTCTACGCTGGCCAGCGACAGCCAACCAGGGAGCTGCTACGAGGAGATCATCCGCTACCTGGGGCACCTGGGCCGCAAGGCGTGGCGGCGCCTGGGCCGCTGCGTCGCTGGGACACGAAAACACTTCCACTGCGTGTGTCAGAAAGACCCTGGAGGCGGAGCCAGCAGGGGGGGGCGGAGCTGGGGAGATGAACGGACTCGCTAACCGGCACTCGGGCCACGTTCCCAACGACCTGTCACACCTTCATCAGCTTTATCACCAGCATCACCAGCATCATCATCATCATCACCACCAGCAGCCCCCCCAGCCTCAGCAGGAGCCTGAGGTGAGAAACGGAGGGAATGGTTTTAATTATCCCTTCATATCGCCCCTCCTCAGCCACCTGGATGCAAAGGCCCGGGACAAGAAGAGGCTGGTTGCCAAGGAGACTGTCAACAGACTGCCACAGCTGGTGCTGGAGCATGGTGAGAACCAAGGGGTGTGTGTGGGTGTGTGTGTGTGTGTTTGAGGGTGTCAGTGTTTGTGCTCCGCTATTAGCTCGTCAACCTGGTCCCTGCAGGTGTGACTGCATGGATGTGTTGATTATTTAGATTAAAGGGGTTGTTAACAAAGCTTTCAAAGAAGAGTTCAACCAAAAATGTTAACACTTCTTCCTCTTACCTGCTAATAATCAATCTAGATTATTGTTGTGTGAATTGCAGAGTGTTGAAGATATGACTCATCTCAAATATAGGGGGATTGAATGGCATTAGCAATGTTTTTGTTTCAGAAATGAATACCAGTTAATAACAGACCGTTTTGTGAGCAGATTTAATTAGACACCGTTTTCTTTCTACCAAATTACAAGTGCTTACCATGTCACTGCACATAACAAATTGTGCATTTATGGACAAGAGCAAAAGAGGGAGGGGATTTGAGGTGCTCTAACTACCCCTAGGATTGCCATAGCCCCCCTGTAGCACCCTCAACACATGTCTGTGGTTTATTTTACAATATCATTTACTTTTCTTTATTTCTTTAAGCTTGTTTGCATCTCTCTCTCTCTGTCTCTCAACATCCAGCGCAGCTATGCACCTCCTAATGTACTCACTTAACAATTTCACAACACAGACACTCACTCTCTTAGCTGTTGGGCTTACGGTAATCATATGCCAAAAATATTTAGACATTAAATCAAACCACTGGCCAGCAGTGCATCCACCAGGAACATATATGTGCGGTGAAATCATTTTGATTCATTAGTCGAGGTGTATGAGTTTGGGATTTCAGAAATTGACACTGAATGTTGACAGTCCTGTCTTTTGCTGGCTGCGTGTGTGCAAGCCAGGTCTGTGGAAATTATATATTAAGATGGGTGTTGTAAACCTTATATTTATCCCTTGAGCTGAATATATAGCGTTGTTTTTAAAGTAAAAGGACATTGTAATTTTGTGTAATTTAGTCGTACTGCATACATGCGTGTGCGTGTGCAACCCCCATAACACCAGCAAAGGAAAATCTCTGGCTCTGTTCATCGTACGAGAGGCTCGTGCTCAATGTTTTGGTGTAGCTCAGTAGTGCTTTCTGGTGTGAGACCTTGCTGTTGAGTTTTTTTCAAATGTAATTTTGATGCTTTGAGCACAAGAAGCTGAGTGCCATCCATAAATTGTATCTTAGAAGTGGATGTAGTCACTGTGATGTCACCCGTTGTTTTGTGGACCATGGTTTTGAAGACTCAAGTTTAACATTTTGACCGTCGCCATCTTGGTTTTAAGGTCATCATGTTTTGTGGAAACAGAAGTGATAAAAGAGCAAAGTACAATCGAAAGCTTTAAGTTGACCTCAATTTTACAATAATATGAATACATTGAAAACACACTCAAGGGGTTAAAGTTGTAAGACAAGAACATGGAAGACACCAAATGGTAGCAACATTCAATCTAAAAGGCAGCACAACCTTAAAAAAAACCTGCTTTATTGTCTGCTATCTCCAATACTATTGAACTCACACCAAAACAATCTAGATTGATAAATAGTGCTCAAGGTAAGAAGAAAAATACTTGGATTTAAACATGAACTGTCTCTTTGATCTGTCCCTGTGTTATGGGTAACTTTGCTTTATTTCTTCTGATTCTTTCTTTAAAATAAATAATCTTTGAGACTCAATTCACCCAAATTATAACAGAGCATATTCCCCCACTCGCCCTCGGCAGCATTTAGACATGCAGCTCACAGAAGTCTGTCACCTCTGACACAGTGTATGTGGATTAAATATGCTCAAAGTATTATAAAAAAGGAGAAGAGCTTCTGCATGCCCTGCACATTTTATTTTACATTAAAAAGCGTTCAGTCCTTGATCAGCCTGCGAGGCAAACTGTACACTTTGTTGTATTTCTACATTCAGGTAATAGGCCCAAAGGAAACGCATCTGTCACCCTTACATAATATTGCACTTGGGGTATTTTTGGCCTATGGGATTTGTAGAAAACAAATGTGGAGACTAAGTGATGTGATGTATGAAAGTGGAGGTCAACACACATGTACAGCAGTTTCATGCTGGATAAACAAATAATCTGTTAAACACATTTGGCAAATGCTGTCATACAACAAAACACTGTATTTAACAAAATATGTCAAAAGAGTCATAACGCTTTAGTCAAACCTATTCAAGCCTACAGATTGCAGTTTTAACAATTGATAATTCATCCAGAACAAATCTCCCTGACCTTTTTGTACATATCTCATCCTGGTTGATTACCTTAAATCTGAGGGGAGATATAAAAGGAAGGAATTAGGATGTGACTGTTCATGGAAATGATTAACAACAGGATATTGAAGAGACATGTCACCCTGATTGAACATCTTTTACTTACTTACACTAAATGTGTTATAAAATGCATTTTTAGATAATTAACGGCAGCAGGTCTTGGCAGAGACAATGTAAAGTTACTCTGGATAAATCACACACTTTGAGAACTTGCCCTTGAAGATTTTATGGTTCTGATTTTTAAGGGTTTAAAGGGCTCCTCCAAAGGAATGCACTCCTACATATTGGGGGACCCACTTCACAGAAACATTCAACTGGACGGTCAAATTCAGAGCAGCAGATATCCTGACTTTAATTCCCTGATACGCTCCAAATCACAACACATACTTTTAAAGACTCCATACTTGGGCTTTAGAAAATAACACTGAAAACATCACAGTGACATTGTCTGTTTTCTGCTATTTTCTCAGACTACAAAATCTGGCTTTATGCTTATTTTCCGAAAGCTTCATTCATAACGATGACATTTCAACTTTAAATCAACATTTGATTGTTAAATATTTTTTCTTGCATGTCCATTCATTCTGTTTAAACCCAGTATTTCTGCACGGTTGCAGATAAAGATGAAGCTACACTAATCATTGTTTCCCCTGTTTACCAGCGCTGCAGAATTATGAGTGCCGATGCTAAAAATTTAACTCAATCATTAATATTTCCTACTCTCGCAGCTTAGTCTCTCCACACACACTCATGGAGTGGAGCAGAGGAGAGACAGGTGAGGTGAGGATAACACTGTCTGAACCGGTGGCAAACAGGCTCTAAATGAATGGTATTATCCTATTCATAGATTCCAATGGTGGCTGTGAAGGATTTGTTTGATCCACACATTTCATAAAACTCCAGAGAGGTGTAAAGTTGGAAAGTCAACATTATTTAAAAAAGAAAGATGGATAGCATTTCCAAAACCATGCTTTTATCCAACAAAATATGCTGCTTTTATCCTTATTTGTTGGTGTCTAGCCTTTCAAAATCAACAATCACTACTTGCTCACCCGCTTGCTGCACACAAAGGGAGGCAAGCACTGAAGATTTATATTAATTAAAGAAAGTGAATTTAATAGAAAGAGAGAGTTACTCACATTTTCTTGGCGGATTATTATTTTCTTCTAGGGTGATGATGTCATGAAATATGACGACAGACCTTTGAAACTTGTATAATCTCACTAGAAGTTTCCAATGTCAAAAAAAAGAAAAAAGGTACAGCCCTACCATCCAGTGTTAGAAGCCATAAGTGGTATTCCCCATTATGTTTGACCTTCATGTGTAAAATGTTAAGTGACAGAGAAAGTACAGTGTAATACAACTCAGTGGTTAATGTAACTGGCACACTTCCAATGCAAAGAAAACTGAGTAGAATTCAGTGTGTGCTCGAATGCATTGGCAATCCTGGGCCGAATTATTTTTACAGAAAAGGTTTTTGGAGAGCAATTTTGAGCAATTCCGCCTGCTGAAAGTTTCCCTGCAGCCCATATTATCTATATAGAGGCTCACCACAGAACGGCTAGATTGGATTCACTATATCAGTCTCCAGTGAAACATGAATTTCTTGTAATTGTGATGACAAGTGAACTGCTCCTGCTAGATTAGTCTTTGTTGTTATGCCATTGGAGCATTCCTCCCGAGCTGCTTGCTAATGAATTCTGCTGAAATCTTACTCCCGCTTCACTCCACGCCCCTTCCCCCTATCACACACACACACACACACACACACACACACACACACACACACACACACACACACACACACACACACACACACACACACACACACACACACACACACAAACCCCTGTTCTAATAAAAGATCTCCCCCTCTTCACAAAAGCATCCCAACTGCACAGTGTCTTCCATGTTATTGAATTTCTCACAGATAATTAAATGAAGGTGCTCTCCTTTACCTGGCAGATTATATATTGAGTGACGAAATATCATCTGCAGGATTGCAACATGCGGAATCAACTATTTACCATTAACCTTGTGCATGTAGGATGTATGATGTTACTAACCCGTGTCTATATCACCTCTTCCCTGTGTCTGTGCAGGTGGGTGTACCGGGCAGCCTGGGTTACCGTTGCCAGGTGAAGTCCCAGGAGACTCCTCAGTATGCCCGTACTGCATCTACTACAACCAACTGAGTGATAGTGAAAATGTTAATGAGCATCCTGAAGATCAGCATCATGGGTACAGCAAGTCATGCCATGGCAACAGCCCGTGTCATAGTAGCAGCCCATGCCACTGTAGCAGCCCCCCTCGCCGCGTCGATGCTCAGGTGTCGGAGCCGAAGAAAAGGCTGTACAAGCGCTGCTGGGCGGGACTCCAATCTAAACTGGAACTCATCGTTTCCAGCAGATACTTCAGCAGAGGGATCATGATTGCCATCCTCATTAACACACTGTCGATGGGCATAGAGTACCACGAACAGGTATGTAAGGGTCTGAGTGATGGTAAGAGGCTGCACGTGTGTGTATGCACATGCATAGCTATGTGTGAGACACTTGCAGATTGAATGTGGTACAGTTTGATTGAAAATGGATGTGCTAATCACTGTGAAGTCAATAACCCCACCCTCCAATCAAAACGTACAACACCAAGCATATGGGATCACCAAGCGTGTGCGTGTGTGTATGTGTGAGTGTGACTTTGTGTGGGCTGAGCACGCATGTATCAGAAGGTGGAGAAACTCATAAGACCTGAAGTGTTAATTAAAGCGTGACCCTGGGACAGGAGAGAGTGAGCGGTGTGGAGACGGGGCAGAGTGAGAAAAGCCAGTGTGAGCGAGTGAAGAAGTGAGGAGGAGGAGGAGGAGAGCAGATCTGACATTGTGATTGGCTGAAAGGCAGAGAGAGACGGTGGGAGACGGGGGAAGATTGCCTTTGGCCCATTTCCTGAACAATATGATAGACTTGGATGGCCTTGACTTCTTGAATATCTAACATTTAAGGATAAAACCAGCTCTATTTTATCTTTTTTTAAATGAGCCGGTCCTTTGAAAAGACCAAAACCAAGAGTGAACTGTATGAATGAATAAAGGAATAGAAGAACAGCCTGGTACCGTTTTTTCTCTGTGCCATAGAATTCGATTGTCATCTCAACATTTTTTAGTACAAATACAGAGCCATACAATTTAGTTGGATTACCCTTCCTCATTTCAGGGAACGTGAACAGAGTGTTCATGTTTTTTGAATCCCCGGAAAGTAGCTCTTTGACAGGCAAATGTCACCGAGCATGCTCAGAGACACATCTTCTTGTTTACACTGCTGCGTTTGTTTGTCAAGCTGGGAGAAATAAACCACAATGTTTGTATTTACTGTAATGAAGAAATGCCACCTCATGCCACGGTACATGGCTTATGTTTCAATACCATCGTTTTTATTCAACAAGATCTCCATGGCATGATGGCATGTGATATATTACACTCTAGATATGTGGACTATAGAGTTTTTTATTTTTAGATTTGTTGAAAAGTTAAAGAATAAAACTTAAAATCTGTGGTTCTCAAATTGCCCCTGTTTACAATCAGAAAGCCTTTAATGCCCCTATCGCCCTGCAAACAATTCTTTTTACAAACCAAAAATAGTGTGAAAATTACTGACAAAACATATTTGAAAATAATTATCTAAAATGTACATGAACTACTTTTGGATTCATGAAAATAACTACTTAAACATAGACTTGGACTGAAAAAAACACTCAGTTATTCTACAGTGAACCTGAGAGTAAGATCATTTTATAATATGCACAGTGTTACGCAGTCTGAATCAATATTGATAGCCTTGCTTTACACTCCTTTTTGACTAGAATCAAATGAATTCAGCTCCAACTTTTCCTTCCAGTCATGTGTTTCCCTCCTGTAATACCTCTACAGACCCAAGAGTGGCCCTGCCCTGCAAATTGAGAATCACAACTTTAAGTAATATGAATGACATCAATAATAAAAAGTGTATTCCCTCACTCTACTCCAGAGGATAGTCGGTAAAAGCACACCTGTATTCACATCCTGGAGCAGCTGCGCTCTCCATATCTGCGACTTCATCATCCATATAAAGCTAAACTGCAGCCTTGAGGGGCATTTCAGAAACATGTTTACTCTCCTCACTGCCAGTCTGTCTGTCTCTGTTTATTTGTTCATTTTTCTCTCTGCCTGTCCAATATGTACATCAATCTCTCTCTGTTTTCTCTCCACAAACACTGCGCCTCTTCAGCCGAAGGAGCTGACAGATATTTTGGAGATCAGTAACATGGTGTTCACCAGTCTGTTCAGTCTTGAGATGCTGCTGAAGCTGGCAGCTCTCGGGCTCTTTGGCTACATCAAGAACCCCTACAACGGCTTCGACAGCGTCATTGTCATCATCAGGTGGGGCTCTAGAGGGAGGGAGGGGTCTCTCACTGTAAATTAACCCCAAAATGGATATTCTGTAAGTGGATATTGGTTTTGTCGTTTGAAAATCCTCCCTGCGAGTCAGAGTCCCGAGCTGTCACAGTGGCTCTGCAGTGAAGCACTGTGGCTGCACTCTGAAGTCCAAGGGACCTGTATTCACTCCATTATGAAGTACTACAAGCTAAATTATGTATCTGAGCTGGAAGGGCTTTGCTTGTTTACTGTACCAGCGCACAACGGTATCCCCTCCTTTATTGGCTGGTAAGCTGTAAACAGCATTGGCCCATTTCCTCTTTTCAGTTGCCACATAGCCACAAAACTTTCCTTACCTGAAATGAGGCTATTGTGCTTTGATGCTAATGCTGATTTAAGTGGAGTTGCAGCTGTGGTTAAGAACATATTGATTACTTTGCTTGCTTAAATGTAAATCTAACTTTGTGTTTATAATGCTGCTTGTGTGTGTTGCAGTGTGTGGGAGATTATGGGTGAGGCAGAGGGAGGCTTGTCGGTGCTTCGTACCTTCAGACTGCTGAGGGTTTTGAAGCTGGTCCGCTTCCTTCCTGCTCTGAGGAGGCAGCTGGTGGTGCTGGTGAAGACCATGGACAATGTGGCCACATTCTGCATGTTGCTGATGCTCTTTATATTCATATTCAGGTATTTGTCTTCCTTTCTCTCAAGGCCATACTGCAGGCTGAGTCTCACCAACCAAATCGTTCTTTTCTCAGCTTCAATTATACCTTTCAGAAAATTGCAATCATTATTTCTGACCTTTTTCTTACACTGTTGCAAAACATATTACCACATGCATCATCACCCTTTCCACTCACACAATTATTCACGCAGGCAGTATTACATATCCATAATAAATTACTATGTAATGAAAGTAATGTATTTTCTGATTGTTTTGTGTCTGTTTGTGTGTTGCAGTATCTTGGGAATGCATTTGTTCGGCTGCAAATTCGGTTTGCGACAAGACACTGGAGACACCTTACCTGACAGAAAAAACTTTGACTCTCTGCTCTGGGCGACTGTCACTGTGTTTCAGGTTAGACAAAGACACCGACATGCACTATTCCCCTCAGATACAGACACACCAGAAGAGTTCATAAATACATTTACAAAAATATTTAATTTTGAAGAAATTCCCTATTAAATAAACAGCTTAAAGTGCGATTTTAAAACTAATTAGGAGGAAATCAAACAGCAGAAGCCGCCGTCACCCGTAGGAGACCTGACGATATTCCCCATTTATTCATGTGCTCCAATTTGAGAGTGCTCACTCTCGACTTTCCAACAAAATATAAAAACTCTCCCAGTGGGCAGGTGAGATACGCTTCACAAGCAGAGTAGGAGGAAGAGTAATGATTCAAGCACTCCACAGGAGCTCATTTACCACTGATGAGCATCATTAACGTTCAACTGACTATGAGATATTAAAGGAAGAACCCTCTTGTATTATGACTCCTATTATACTTACAAACAGCTACTACAGTTGTGAGGCATTTCTGGTCCGTTCTGTTTGACGGTGTCTTTGATCTCTTCCCCTCTGCAGATCCTCACTCAGGAGGACTGGAACGCCGTGCTCTATAATGGGATGGCCTCCACCACGCCGTTGGCCGCCCTCTACTTTGTAGCCCTCATGACCTTCGGCAACTACGTCCTCTTCAACTTGCTTGTAGCCATTTTGGTGGAGGGCTTTCAGGCCGAGGTAAGGGGCAAAGATGCAGTTTCATTTGAGCTACCCAGAGAACGAGGCAGCGAGAACGGGACTAATTGAGCTCCGTTGTGCTGATGATACCAAAGCTGCCTACGAGAGCATAATCTCCAGCTTCCTGCCTGTGTGGCTTCTCCCCTTTCTCTCTTTATCCGTTGCTTTCCTGTTCTTGCACAGTTGTCTTCTCTTCCCCTTTCTCTCTCTCTCTCTTTTTCTCTTTCCGTTCCCTTGTCTTTCTTTCTTTCTCTCTATCTTTCTTTCTCACTGACACACACACACACACACACACACACACACACACACACACACACACACACACACACACACACACCACACACACACACACACACACACACACACACACACACACACACACACACACACACACACACACACACCATTCTCTCCAGGGTAGGATGTGTTTGATATCGCCTGCCATTCACAGCTGGTGAGCTTTTGTTGTTTAGTTTTCATCTTTTATCTCCAGCATCAGAGAGCACTTGCTCGCGCTCTCGCGCTCTATCATAAACACACACACACACACACACACACACACACACACACACACACACACGCACACGCACACGCACACGCACACACACAGAGAGATACCCTTTGCCAAAGCCGTCTGCCTCCATATTTCTGGCGTGAATTTTAATTAAATTCAGTAAAGCTTTATTGGCGTGACTACAGGAGATCGCTGCCAAAGCCATGCACATAACTCAACTAGAGAATACTGGAGATCCCCTTCGCCCGTCTGCCTCTCGCTCTTTGTTTCTCAGTCTGTCCCTCTCAACTTTCTCATATTTTTCACTTTTATACCAGTCAACAGACAGTGAGAAAATGATGAAGATGATGATGCACATTATGATGATAGTGGGGATCCCGGTGATGTGGGTGTGTCTGTGTGTTTAGGGTGATGCCAACAGATCCGAGGCGGATGACGAGAGGCAGTCGCTCTGTTACGAGGATGAGGAGAAGTTGAGAGAGATGTACGCTGCAGGTACTAACTCTTATATTAATTCAGAGCTGGACATGGAAACATGGACCCTCAAATGCATGGTCATCCAGCTTTTAAACAAATCAACAGCTTTACTAAAGGGTGTTTTCAAAAGAAAAGATACACAAACTGAAGTATTTTTACCCAAACTGTGTAAACATTTTGGGTAATACGTTTACAGACCGCTTCCTCGTTTACTTATGACCTGACCTATGGTACTAGTTGTATAGCAAACAATACCAAGAAGTCCCTTTCCTTATTAGATCATTTTGATGAAACCCAAAGATTCTGTAAAATTGTTTATTAATTTGAAAACTTTCCATGTTTTGAATTCTTTATTCATTTAATAACTGCTGCATGTCCCAGAGTTCCTCTCTCTATGGAGATGTAAAAGCTGTTTTCTAACAGAAATGTAGTCAGCCAGAGATAAATACTGTACATTTTCAAACTGTGCTTTTTATTACGTTTTTTTTTAAACATTGGTCTGATCTTAGACCTATTTTTAACGACTATATCCTGAAGAAATTGGTATCTTAATTGGGAAACTTCCTCATGTGTATCACTAAATTACAAAATGTAAACTACACCTCAGGTTTTCAAATTCACAAATCAGAAAACATGACCTCTGTTGCTGAATTTTCTAGCTATAACTGTGAAAAATACGTTTTAATAAACAGAAATGATCCTTTAACTAAAATGTTTTCCTTTGGTTGTGTTTGTGCAGAGCTCAAGATCCAGGCCATGATGTTGAGTCCCAATGGTCTCCTGAACCCAAAGGCCTCCATGCCCCAGCTCCACCTCCCCCCTCCTCCTCTGCCCGTCATCACACACACGGCAGCCACGCCCACCATCAACTACAGCCAGTCGCGGCGGGCGAGCGGCGTCTCCATGGACGTCCACAGCCTGGAGCTGAGGTCTCCGGTGAGCCTTGGCCACATGATTGTATTATCACCACATTCAAAAGTGCAATAAAGTTGATTTGCAGAAGCACTCAAAATTAAAATTATAAAATATATTAAAAAGAAGAGATGAAGTTGAGCTGAGCCTTCAATTTGATTGGAAAGATGAATATCTTGAATGTCTAAAGCTGAGGATTTGTGATTGTTTTGCAGTGTACAATTGACACTGATAACACATGTTATATTCGAAATGAGAAAAAAAGCTTCCTTATGACCTTTAATTAAAGTGGAGTTTGTTTGTTGACATTCGGTTATTCTCTACAAAACCCATCATGGGCATTCTTAAGACACATATATTTGAGGCATTTCCTTCTTCATATAACATTTGCAAAGCAACATTTCTTGGAAGTACCAATTTTTCGGCTGGACTGTTCAATTGACTCTGTGGGTCTGCGACGTGTCGATATTTATTACCTGAGTGGATCCAAGCAAAGCTTCTATCGGCTCTGATCATGTGGTGTGTCAGAATCATCGCAGGAGAGAACTGTTTTCCGGTGGTTTAACAGAGAGTCAAACCCGTGCAGCGCAGAGACAAATGACATGCATTGCTGCTCTTTTCAGCCGCCGCTGCCGGTTAATTGGTGGCACGCTGCTGTCAGAGATGGTGTTCTCTCCAGCTGTGGATGAGTGCTTAGAGATGAGGGTTTTACACTCGAGTTTTACTGGCTTTTTTTGTGACATTTCAGGTGGTTGGACTAATTTACTTCTGCCTGGAAAGTTATGTACATGTTTTTGACCTTCTTTGAATCCAGTTTCACACAGAAGGATATACATATTTATTTTTACAAGCACAGTGTTTTCTTTTCAAGACTTGAGAGGAATGAATATATTAGCTATCTAAAAAGCTTTTTCTTTTATTGCCTGTTAGGCCTCTGTCTCTCACACATTAGGTGTTTTACATTAATGTCCTGCCCCCTCTTTCTGTGTGCAGTTTCTCATGTGGAGTCACATATCATTTGTTCATTAAGCTAGGACAGAAATGGTTTCGATGCTACAGTCACATAATCATTAACAGATAAAAACGAGATCACAAAGAGTGCTGAATAATGCTCTTAAATCTGACGGCCTTATGTTTGTCCAGGCTGGTATTTGCTCTACAGCAGTGCTACTGGCCAATAACTCCACAGGGTGCCTTCAGTCTGTTAATGGAATACTTCACCCACAAAATGACCATTTGTATTCAACATAAATTACTCACCGCACGTCACTTTAAATTCTCGAGGAAAACTCTGTGAGCGAAGAATACAAAACTGAGAAAGGTATTGATGAACTGAAGCAAAAGCAAAACTCTATCAAAACATCTTTTGATAAAATTCAGACTCCCACGGACAATATTTTCTATGAAAGTCGTGAGCATACTACTGGATAATTCATCAAGGTTTTTATCGTTTTTTTATTCTTTGATCACAGTGGAGGCCTGTGAGAAAAATAATGTGTTTTCAAGAATTGAAGGTAAGGGATAAGTGTTTGATATAGAAATGGTAATTTTGTAGATGAAGCGTTCCCTGAAAAATGAGATGTTTACTTGCACTTAAAGGTCACCTATTATGCTAAATCCACGTTTTCATGTCTTTTATACATATATATGTGTCCCCTCTGCATTAAGAGATTCTGAAATATAAAAACCTGTCTGAAAATGAGCTGATCAGATTTTAGCCACTTTGTGATGTCATAACGATTTTTTGGCTTGTGTAACCATTAGCCAATAACCAACCAGAGTAACCCCCCCACCTTATCACCTGAATCTCCTCCTAGAGCACCATTGTGCTTTATTTTAACCAAATATCTCTCAGAGGGGCGCGGGGAGTGGCTCCGTATTTTCATCTACTGTAAAGTAACAGACCCAGAATCAGCACTTTAGTAACAGGGCTGAAACAGAGGGGTTTATGGGATGCTACAATGCATGATCTGTTTGGTATTTCGAGCCAAACACTTCAGAGACATGTTTTGTATATATCTGAGACTTATAATATATTGATGAAAAACAGTATAATAGGGGACCTTTAAAGAAGTCAGTCAGAAATATTTCTTCCCGTTTGAAGTTGGCTACACAGGATCCATGGGAGAGCCGGCGCTCCAGCTGGACGAGCATCAGCCGAGCCTCCAGCCTGCACCGGAGGAGCCAGTCGGGGGAGATGGAGTCGCTGCTGTCCGACACACACACCAGCTCCAACTACAGCAGCAGGGACCAGTCTCTGGACCAGGCGGACTACCTGCAGGTGCCCGTGCTCCACTCCCCCGACTGCAACGGCACCACCTTCCACCTCCCGGACCCCGACGACGCTAACGTGAGCACAAACTGCAGCGACACCCAGGACGAGGAAGATATTGAAGAGGTACGGCCTGCTGCATTTTTGATTATTATTCATTTGTTCCAGATTAAAAAAATATTGATGTAAGGCTGTTTAAATGAGTCATGAGCACAAGGTTGTTTTCACTGTGTGCCGCTTCTGTTATTTCCAGTTAAAACAATTGAATAAAATAAGTTGTTTCAGCGTGTTCGCAAGTTCAAAATCTGCTGCTAATTATCTTGCGAAGGCATAATTCCAACCTTAGTACCCTTAGACTCTTTGAAAATATTTAATTAGCTGAATTTAATTTATGAGCAGGGAGGAGGATATACTGGGCACATTGTTTGAAAAACTTGTGCTGTGTTGGGCTTTTTATGCACTGATACAACACGAGTCACATCTGCAATGCAATGTTTTTTAACACCAATTATTTCATATGTGTGTGTGTGTGTGTGTGTGTGTGTGTGTGTGTGTGTGTGTGTGTGTGTGTTTCTTTTAGAGTTTCTGTAAGAAGTTGAAGAAGATTCTGGAGCCATACGAGCCTCAGTGGTGCCTGGACCATGAAGAGTGGTCTCTCTATGTGTTCGCTCCTCACAACCAGTAAATACACACACCACACACACACACACACACACACACACACACACACACACACACACACACACACACACACACACACACACACACACACAGGCACACACAGGCACACACAGGCACACACACACAGCCTTTGATTTGTTTCTCACGAGAGGCCTAAGTGGCTTAAACCACAGCGTGTGTTAAACCTCACAGTTGAAGGGGGAAGGTAACATCCAAGATGAAGAAATACAATTTTCCCTTTTATCAATTAAAGCTTCTCCAGCACATTACGTAGACTTATGCAGTGAAGTAGAGATGTTCGTTAAAACCGGAGTAACTAATTTAATTCCTTTTCTGTTTCTCACTTCAGGTTGAGGCTGTGGTGTCAGAGGGTCATCGGACACAAGCTGTTCGATCATGTCATCCTCCTCTTCATCTTCCTTAATTGCATCACTATTGCACTGGAGAGACCCGACATATCGTCCAACAGCATGGTAACACACACACACACACACACACACACACACACACACACACACACACACACACACACACACACACACACACACACAATCACTCTCTATTTATCTATACTTGTGAGGTCCCTCATTACATTATGCTTTCCCGAGCGACATTGGAACAACATGCTAAACCCCAACCTCGACTGTGTGGTTGGGTTTCTGCACTGAAAATGCATTACTGGTCTGGTCTTTTATTTGATCAATATTATACAACACAAGCTGTTAATTACAGAGTGGTTCATCTGCTCGCTGCTGATGTAACAGCAGTTTTTGAGTCATTATAAAAACACGTGCTGTTCTACATTTTTTTGTTCAACATGTTTCTACTACAATCATTATGGATTGTTGGATTTTTCCTCCAAGCTCATTATATAACACATTGCAGTTAGAGTACTAAATCTTGTGGGACTTAAAAAACCCTTCAATTAATGAATGTGTTTCTCTGTGCACAATTCTGTGTGTTGTGTGTTTGTGTGTGTGTGTTTTTGTGTGTATGCGTGACAGGAGCGAGTGTTCCTCAGTGTGTCCAATTACATCTTCACTGTGATCTTCGTGGGTGAAATGATGATCAAGGTAACCATTACAAGACACGAACGAGCACTTTACTCCAAATTACATTTCTCTTCTTACTTAAAAAAGGGCAATTTTCTCCCTGGTTGTGCATCAGAATCACTTTTAAACCAATTGTACTCCTCATATTGTTCGATTAATTCAGTAATTTTGTTGGGTATGTATGTGTGTGTGTGTGTGTGTGTGTGTGTGTGTGTGTGTGTGTGTGTGTGTCAAGGTGGTTGCTTTGGGCCTGTACTTTGGAAAGGGTGTGTACCTGCAGAGCAGCTGGAATATTTTAGATGGAATTCTGGTGTTTGTGTCCATGGTGGACATCCTGGTCTCCCTCGCCTCATCAGGTGGAAATCGAATCTTAGGAATCCTGCGTGTGCTTCGTCTGCTCCGCACATTGCGGCCACTCAGGTAGGAGTGCAATGTTTTTTTTTGTGTTTACTCTAATAATACTATCTAGCAGTGGTGGAAAAAGTATTTAGATCCTTTACTTAAGTAAAAGTACTAATACTATACTGTAAAAACACTCAATCACTCCAAGTAAAAGCACTGCATTGAGGACTGGACAGGAAATGTACTTAAATTATAAGAAATACAAGTATTAATTGCAGAAAATAAACTCAAAATGATTTAAATAAAATCGTAAAATATTAAAATATTTCAAAAGAAAAGCCATAAATCTTCACGTTTAAGAATATGAAATTGTGAAATGTTTCTTAACAAAAAACGACTTAAACAATTAGCAAAATGCCTGCAAATAAAAGAAAATTCAATCCATGGTAGTGAGGTAGAAGTATGGCACAGAAAATAAATACTCGGGTGATGTACCGGTACTTCAAATTTGTAGTTAAGTACAGTACCTGAGTAAATGTACTTAGTTACTTTCCACCACTGCTATCTAGTGTATTTGTTAATGTGTGTGTGTGTGTGTGTGTGTGTGTGTGTGTGTGTGTGTGTGTGTGTGTGTGTGTGTGTGTGTGTGTGTGTGTGTGTGTGTGTGTGTGTGTGTGTGTGTGTGTGTGTGTGTGTGTGTGTGTGTGTGTGTGTGTGTGTGTGTGTGTGTGTGTGTGTGTGTGTGTGTGTGTGTGTGTGTGTGTGTGTGTTGCAGGGTGATAAGTCGGGCTCCTGGTCTCAAACTGGTGGTGGAGACTCTGATCACGTCTCTCAGACCCATCGGGAATATCGTCCTCATCTGCTGTGCTTTTTTCATTGTGTTTGGAATTCTGGGAGTCCAGGTAAACATTTATACTCTATATTTCCCCGTTGGTGCAGGAACAGCCTTTTCATATCTTTTACATTTGTTATTATAGCATTGAAAAATACTCTAATTTCCCCACGTTTTAAGTGCCCAGACATCCGAAGCTTGCTGTCTGTTCTCATGTGAGAAGAAATTGATCACTGTGGTTTAAAATTCACAAGGCCCACCTCACAAAATGCTTCAGGTAATACAAAGTGAAGAGAAAAATTGGGAGGAAATGCTAATGAGCTGCTGATTAGGAACCAGAGTCTCTGGAATTAATTAAACATACAATGGTTTAACTACGTAGGGATTGTGCTGAAAAGGGGCTTTCTTAACATTTCCCCCATGATTTCTGTATTATTAATGTCATTAATGAATGCCAAATTAAATAAAAGCAAACCCAGTTTTACCGTATGTATAAAGAGAAGGATCAAGATTATCATTTTATAAAACAGTGGGTCTCAATATGAGGGCCAGGACTTTCCTTTGAGTTGCAAATGATTAAAGGCTTGAGAAAGAAAATGTTTTTTCCGTAACACAAATAATTTCTTTATTACTTTTGATTAGTAATTGCTTTTTGATTTTGTGCAATACGACACACAGTTTCATCGCCTCAGGCCTCAAAGCCCTTCAGAGGAAATCATTTGCGGCGGGAAAAATGCTCTTTCTTTTAACAGTTTGTTACTCATATCCACCTTGCTTTATTTTGAAGGGCCATGTTTTTAACATTATTTTAATGGTATTTTAGGAACAAAAGTGATTTACCATAAACACTTTCTGTGAACTCTCCTCTTAAAACCTGTTAAACCCCACGGACCAGCCGAAGGGTCCGAAAATGCTACATCTGCTAGCACCAGTGTGATCTCTGAAGTGTCATTTATGAAACTATTAATGTTCCACACCCAGCTGACGGGAAGAAACTCAGCTAACTGACGATACGAAAAAAAAAAAAAAAAAATTCCCACAAGAAGCCTTTCAATGAGCCCTTAGCAAAGACGGACTAATGCTATTTCTGCTCATAACTCACAAAAACGATCATTTATAATTCATACTTTCTGCACAAACAACACATCATCTGAAAACTGAGATTCAACAGATTCCATGGGTATACACCCCATCACTGCAGGCAAGAATTCACTGAGCTAGCAGCCAGAACATAGCAAATAAACAACATCAGTTTTCAAATCCAAGACAATATTTAGCAGGTTAAATATTTGTTTTGATTTTTTAAATTTTAAAATAATTTTCTTTTTTTGATTTTTTTTGTTGATGGAATGAATAACTATAGTGATGATTCAATGTTATAAAATGATTTTTACAGTCTGGTACCTGAAAAAGGTCAAGTGGCACTGATGGAACCAGATGTGCCCAAATGTGCCCAAAGCTTAGTCCGCCTGGACTTTTTTTCCCTAAATCTCTCTTAAAAAGGTCAATTTTCACTTGTTTTGCCTCAATCTTGATACAGGGTACTTATTATATGTTATACTTTGGATTCCTAAAGCTTTTAGGCTACTAACCCATCATTCAAGGGTGGTTTTCACTATAAGTAATGGGAGGTGTGGTTTAGGCGGAGGTAAGAATTTACACTTTTGTACTATGTTCCATCTGAATTTACTCTGACACAGAAACATCTTTATTGATTCTGACACTTCTACATCCAACTCACAGATGTAACCTTGCTTTGAGAAAAAAGATTATTAATTTAACCCTTTTAGAAGTGAAGTTATAGTCATTTGTTCTGGGCATGTCATTTTCGAGCCTGAAACCTGAAAAACAGGCTTGGGGTCTAACAGGTTAATTATTTGCCATTTTGCAAATATTCCTGCAAATTAAAAAGCTATTCAAA